TTAGCAACTCTCTGATTGTTAATCAGGCTCTCAGCCAGAGATTTCTGTGATAAATTTCAGGCTCTAGCTGTGCCTAAATTGCAGCACCCTGACACAACTTACGCGTGCTACCAGGCACTTTGGATCTTTTAAAACAAAGAGAGATTAATAAAGCTTAAAACTAGATTCCATTAGGAAGCTAGTTAAAACACTCCTCTTCGTTTAAACCTATAAAGTAATTAAATACAGCAATCACAACATCTTTAATTATTGCCATCAGCTTATCATTACTTCATGCAAAATCACATTTAAAAGAAAAACAGATAGTCGTGTGGAAACCACGGAACTTGCCCTACTATTCTGTGAGTATCAGGAAGTATGAGGCATTTTAAGAGGCCACTGTGTTCCAATCCAGTGTAACCATGAGTTGCAACCCATTACTGGTTCTGAAATCAAAATATTGAGTTGATCATCTTTCCTAAAAAGGGACATAGAAAACAAATCAGAAAATAGAGTATAGTGTATTTGTTAATATTCTGATCCCGCCCCTTGGCGCCACCCTCTGTCCTGACGTAAAAGTCTCTTTTTAAGGAAGAAGTCTGCCCATTTCTCTCCCTCTCCTCCCTCTCCCTCTCCCTCTCCCTCTCCCTCTCCCTCTCCCTCTCCCTCTCCCTCTCCCTCTCCCCTCTCCCTCTCCCTCTCCCTCTCCCTCTCCCTCTCCCTCTCCCTCTCCCTCTCCCTCTCCCTCTCCCTCCCTCCCTCCCTCCCTCCCTCCCTCCCTCCCTCCCTCCCTCCCTCCCTCCCTCCCTCCCTCCCTCTCTCTCTCTCTCTCTCTCTCTCTCTCTCTCTCTCTCTCTCTCTCTCTCTCTCCTGCTTCACTTCCATGAGATGTGCACCCTCAACCCCTTCTCTCCCTTTGTCTCTCTCTCTCTGTCTTCCTCTCTCTGTCTCTCTGCGTCTTTATCTCTCTATTATAATAAACTCTCCAAGTGGATGCATCGTCTGGACTGTGTATCACTGGCCGCCGCCATGCACTGCATGGTGTGCATCTGCCCAGCCCGCAGCTGCATCTGCCCAGCCTGTTTCCTTGCATGAGCAGGATACCCTCAGAGTCCCTGCACATAATAATAAATCATAACAATATTCACATGCATAAAAGTGTTATTTTCTGAAACTTTTGTTTGGTTTTGTGTATAAGTTGTTCAAATTGGTTTAACCTATCCTTCAAGCAACATCAGAATCCCTTTCAAAGACACACCTAAAAGTGCCATTCTCAAAGACTTATTGTAGTTTCCATAACAACCAGAACAAGCTCTATGGGGCAGAGCCCTGGTCATTCTGTGCTGTAACTCTAGGGCTGAGTTCAAGGTTTGATGTAGGCGGGGCACATCTGCCTAATTATGAAAGTCTCTCTGAGCTGAATTTGTTATTCCCCCTGTGTTTTCACCCTCCCCCCCCTTTCTCCTATGATGTATTCTGTTTTCCCACCTAAGATGTATTGGTCTTCCGTATTCTGTTGGTAGGCTTCTTTTTATTCATTCTTTCAGATTTCATCTCCTGGATGAAAGATTTCCCTCTGCCCTTGGACTGAGTTCATACTTGACAGTCATTTTTATTATCAGTAGTGTAGTCATTTTTCATTCCCTGCTACGTTGTGAGCTTCCTCGGGGCAAGCATGTGCTTATTCGTGCTTTTTCGGTCTCCTCAATTCCTAGTATGTATTTGGCACATACAGTTATTCAATAACTATTTATTGAATGGCTGGACAAGCAAATGAAATGAGCTAGATAATCAAGAAAGATGATTGTCTGTGACAGAGCTCCCTAATTTAAGTTACAAGTAATGAGTCATTTTGAATTATGGAAAAGGAAAGAGAGTGTGTATATATACACTATAGGGAATTTGTGTATAGGGTGGAGAGTTAAGGAAGGCACAAAATTAATTATTCAATATAAAATCAATCACTTAGAGTGTCATATTTTCTTACTGAATTTATGATCTGTGGTGAATGACCGGTTTTCCTTTCCATGGCTTTTCAGGGAAGAATCATTAAGTAAAACAAAGGGGAACAGTGTTAATGATGAAAAAGATGGACCTGGAGAGATGGCTCAGTCGTTAAGAGTACTTACTGCTCTTGTAGAGGATTTGAGTTCAGTTCCTAGCATCTGCGTTTGTTGGACCAGAGCTGCCTGAAACTCCAGCTCCAGGGGATCCAATGCTCTCTTCTGGCCTCTACAGGCAACTGCAGTCATGTGCAAAATCCTCCACACATACACATACACATAATTTAAAAAAGGGAAAATATGGAAAAGCTTAAGGGCCTTTGACTTCAGGGTACAGCTTGATCCCAACCAGGATTGATCCTGCTTTCTGTGATACCTTAATGTCACAATAGAAAATATAATTAATGGTGGATAAGATAGATGGAGCAGACAAAAGTATCTTTAAAGGTGATATATAGCCTTTGTTTCCTCAGGTTTACATTTTTGTTTTAATAAAACTGTTACCTTGTTCTTCACTATTTAAAATAAACAGCCAGCCTGGAAAGAAGCCTTGTTACTCATGAGCTGGCTTAGTTTTCTCTTGAGTCTTTTATCTTTTATTTAAAGCCTTGTTCACTTGCTTCCTTATTTCAGTTGTAGGGATTTCTTCAAAGTGGGCTGGGAGGGGCAAACACAAAGGTGAGTCTCTAAAACCCTTTGAAGGATTTCTGAAACACTTACATGTATAGGGAAATCGGCCTCTCTCTCTTTTTTTTTTCTTACGGATCACAAATACAGAGCTTGGATAGAAATTCCTTTTGGGAAATGCCTTTCTCTCTGCAGATCTAAGACTGGCTTGTTTCCCATAATTTCAGGCCATTAGGAAACTCCCCAGAGGCACACTCCTCTTTTTTACCTTAACTTCAACTAGCTTAAACAAATAAGCAGGGCTCAGACCATTCATTGCTCTGTTCTAAGCCAGGGTAGGTGCTTTAGGGATTGGGGATTTTTGACAGAGAGCAGGCCTTGTGGATAGAACCACACAACAAGAAGAAATGGATGTCCCTCTCTGGGAGGGGGAGGAACCGCCAATGAGTGGCCAGAGAAAAAAGCTATAGAAGGAGAGCGTGGACACTAGTAGCATTTGCTTGGTCCAGGTCCAACCAGAGGCTCTCCAACAAGCAGGGCGAGGTTGACGTAGAAAAGACCTTATGGAAACCACGAACAAGCAAGGGCTGGGGATCTGGCTCAGTGGGTGATGTTTGTGGAGCACAAATCTGCGGAGCAGAGGGTGGCTCCCGGAACTCCTGTAATGGAGAGGAGCTACCTATAATCTCAACACTAGGGGAAGACCCCAGCATAAGCAGGCTAGCTAGATTATCTGGAATTGGTGAGCTCCCAGTTCACTGAGAGACTATGCCTCCTTACATAAAGTGGAGAGCTATAGAAGAAAACAGTCAACGCCAGTTTTATGCCTCTGCAGGGTCATATATATGCACTCTATCCTCCACCACATGTAAACACACACACACACACACACCAAAAATAAAATAAAAATAGCATTATTACTTGTTCTATAATTAAATAAAAATTTAGTGAGTTAAAAACATGAAAATAATTCAAAGAAGCAAAACCACCTCAAAACTATTAGACACCACAACTTATGGAGATGACTGCTCCACCTGACTCTGAGTGCCTGTGTTCATCTGACACATCCTTAGAGATGGAACCAGAAGCAGGTCATCCTGTGCTTGGGGAACTGGGCCATGGGGCTTGCTGTTCCTTCTCCAGAGGTGCTCAGGTTCAGGGAGAGACCAGTGCCTGTGTGACACTGGGGTGGGTACATCATCTCTCTAGGTCTGTGATTCTAGTGATTCGCTGTCTGGTTGTTTATGAAAAATAATGTGTTGTGTACTCCCTGGCATATTCAATTCAACACGATTAACGTCAGAGATTGAGAGCAAACAAGTAAAAGGCCTGAGGTCCCATCGTATGAAAATTTCCAGTGGTGCTTTAGAGAGTTGACATGCGATGAAGAGCAGCAGCGATGCTTGGGAGAGGCGCCCGGGGCTGTACCCTATCCTCCCATCTAGTGAATAATGATGTGGTTAGTCTAACTGCATGTGTGGTTGTGAGAACCGTGTGCTACTAGGCTGCAGGCACGCACAAGAGAGGGATACACACAACGAGTTGTTATCAGGATAATAAGGATGCCGAGGAATGAGTTTGGTGTGAGGTCCTTTATCTTTGCCAATCTCACTTGCTTCCCCCAGTAACTGTTACAGAACCATTTTCATCCTGGTTTATAGACAAGATAGTTAAATATAGGGAGGTTAACTACCTTGCTCAGGTTCATATAACTGGTAAACCAGGAGAAAGTGGGTCTAAATCTAGGTTGACAAGTCAGCAAGGCTCCAGTGCATTCCCACACCTCTGCCTCCTAACAGGAGCACTAAAAGCCTCCTCTGTGCCCTTGTAACAGTTCTAAAAGCCTCCACTGTGCCCCTATAGCTGTTCTAAAAGCCTCCTCTGTGCCCCTATAGCTGTTCTAAAAGCCTCCACTGTGCCCCTATAGCTGTTCTAAAAGCCTCCACTGTGCCCCTATAGCCGTTCTAAAAGCCTCCTCTGTGCCCCTATAGCTGTTCTAAAAGCTCCCACTGTATCCCTATAGCAGCTCGTTGCATTTTTCTGCTGAAACTCCCCACATCCTGATTTTTTTTTTCTTTTCAGCCAAGTTTTTCCCATTCAATCCCTCCTTCAGTGTAACCTTGCTAGCTTTGAGGGCACGCCCCTGCCTGGGTCTGGGCTTCCAGGCTGCCTCTCCCCCACCCCTTTCCTTTCCTGCAGTTTAAAGAGTTGTTAGACATCCCTGATCCACTCTCTTTGCTTTTAGCCCTGTGAGGGGCAGGAAAGGACCGAGACGGGGGCCAAAACTCAGAGTCCCAGAAAGACAGAGAAGGGGTCTTGGGGGAGCAGTGGGTCCCCTTCAACCCCTTCTTCTTAGGGACTGTGATAAACCAAAGAGAGCCTACCGGAAACATGAAGAACTGCTGGTAAGCCCACAACTCCGGAGGGAGCTGGGTGAGGAGTTTTGCAGTAGTGGTAGCATGAGGGGGAGAGACGGTGAGAACCAAGGGAATGTCGGAGGTAGAGACAGATGAGAAAGTATAGCAAGGGAGCAAGCGTTTGAGATAGAAAAAGGAGAGGCAGCTGCAGAAAGAGAGAGGCAGAAAACAAAGATAGTGGTAAGCAGAGACAAGAGTAGTGGAGAAAGTGAGATGGTGAGATACTGAGAATGTGTGACCTGGATGGCAGGAGCCAGAAACGCGTTTATCCGCAAAATTTCTCGGTGAGCTTTCAAAATGAATTTGAAGGCAGTAGCATGCCTTGGGACTTGGTTGCCTCCATCAGTCAGGTTTGGCAAGTTTAAAATATGAAATTAGTTCCCATCAGAAGGGATTCCTATGTGGGTCATTTTTTTTTGTTCTCTCCTCTTCAGGAAAATTCCAGTTTTCTTCTTTGCATGCAGTTTTCTGGGACCCTGGGTATCTGCAACTCCTAAGCGTCGTCCAAGTAAGACCCACGGTTTATGGAGTTTGAAAGTATCTCTTGCTACTGGAAGCAGGCAGCACTGTGACGAAGCAGGGTTGTGGTTGAGTGAAGGCTGATTATGCTCGCAAGGGTCCTTCACACTTCCCCTCCTCGTCCTGCATTGAGGAGATGGTTGGTTGATTCTGTGCTCAATGTTGAGCCTGGAGAGGGAGTCCCCACTGTGCGCACAGTAGGCAGAAATGATGGCTGTGCCTTTTCTAGGGTCCAACATGATGCCTCTTTCAGATGGTGAATGCTAAATACTCAGTAAATGTATGGATGTATGGATGGGTAGATGGATGGATTTCCCTAAAACACTGGGGTCGAGGAGGATAAGAAGAAAATATTTGATGTACTTTGCTGGGTAGGCCAAACTTTCATTATTGTTGTTGTTGTGTGTGTGTTTGTGTGTGAAGTCTAAGAAATCTATTACTAGGTGAGTCTTATCAATGCAGGAGGGGCATGGCAGTTATAAAAACTCATCTTTGGTGGTGACGATTCCCCAGGAACTGCACTTGTCTGGAGCCCCATTGAGCTGTCTCAGGGCTGACTCTGTAATGCCATTGTATGTTTAGAATTGGTGGTGTTTAAGGACTATTTCTAGCCCATGAGAAGTTTTCCAAACAGGCTTCTGACCCATGCCATCCAGGACACTGTGCAGCTCTGACTCTAAATGGAACAAACCCCCAACTTCTCCAGGCAGGAACATCTTGTAGTGGGTGGATTGGATGACATGGTACTGCTTTTTCAGGGTTTCCTGCCAGTCCCAATGGTGGAAGTGAACTGTGTCCCAAGATCAGGATTGGTCAAGATGACTTGCCAGGCAAGTGGCACTGTGTTGTACAGTCAATGCAAGCTTTCCAACTGTAATTTATTTGGGGAGGAGATAGAACCAGTCTTACTTCCAACTTTCTTTTTATATTCCCTTTCTGTAGGGTTTGACCTGATTTCTCAGTTCCAGATTGAGAGAGCTGCATCTCGGAGAACAGTCCAGAGGGTGGTGGGCTCCACTACATTGCAAGTGGCTTATAAATTGGGGAGTGATGTAGACTTCAGGATTCCAACAAGGTAACCTATCAAAAAGAGCCTAATTATCTTCCTTTAAATGCATTTAGAAATGTTTACAGCAATTCAATGTTACAGATTTTTTTTTTTTTACTGTTTGGTATTTCTTGGATTATTTTATTTTAAGATGAAGGACTTGGTTACAGCTCAGTGGTAGAGCACTTACCTAGTATGCATTAGCCAATGGATTAAGTTGCCAGAACTTCTAAAAAGGAAAAAAAAAAGAAAAAGAAAAGAAAGAAAGCCAAAGGAATGTGTTCCCCTATCAATCATTAGCACCTGAATACCGCTCTTCATGTTAAGTTTATAATTTACTTTCCATTCCAGGAATAAAAACATCACTGAGACTATTATACATCAATTCAGGACATGTTCTTAGTAGTTTGCTTTCTGTTTTTCTGTAATTTGTCTGGTTTTGACTGAAAGGACCCTCTGTGGGAAGCACCAGGAGTGAGGCATAAATTTAACCGGCGCCGCAGTGTGGTTTGAAGGCTCACAGTGGAGCTGTTCTAGTGTTCTGGTGCTGAAATAAGACCACACATGCAGTCTTAGGTCCTAGATGACACCAAACAGAAACGAAATGGAAACAATTATAACAGAAACACTAGCAGGGATATACCTAAAGCTTTTATGTGATGGCTGTCCATTTCTGGAATCAATCTGTAAATTCTTTATCGCCGAGGTTCTTTGGTATATGTGGGTTGAATGAGTCACGTCATTCTCTGATCTAGGTTTTGTATCATCAACATACCTTGTGATCAATATGATTACTATAGGTTTTTGGAGTCTTTATTATTTGTACATGTTCATTACACAAACTAATGGTTTCACCACGAAATTTTCATACATGTGTATCATGTACTCTGCTGGGATCCAGCTCTGATTCCCTCTTATTCCTCCTCCTGAAATAGTCCTCATATGCTTTCATGTCATATATGTATGTTTATTACTATTACATATGAAGTGTTTTAATGCATTGTAAAAATAGAACTGAAGATTCCTTTGGTAGATAAAAAATTAGGATTTTGATGGACATTAAGTTGTATAGGAAAATAGTGATTTAACTACAATAATGAAAGGATATTCTAGAAAATTTGTGCATAAAGTTCAAATGTCTTTCAAGTTAGAAGAATCTGATATAAAATGAAAGAGGGTAGAAATTCATATTTTAAGCAATTTGTGTAATACAAGAATGGTCCATTGTATTTACTAATATTACTCTCAACTACTTTATAACATGGTGGCAGAAGGACACTATCCCTGTTGTTTAACGTAGGAGGAAACTGAGTCCTCAAAGTTTAGTTGACTCACACAAGTAAGTTAAAGGTTTGGTGCTCGCTGGGAGGCCTGAAATCCAGGCAGCATGGTTTTGGAACTGGTGTTTCTAACAACTACTTCACACTGATCCTGGACACTCATTCACACGTGGAAAGCTTAAAGGTACTGTTCTAGTTTTGTTTCTGCTGTCGTGATAAAACACTGTGACCAGCCGGGCGGTGGTGGCACATGTCTTTAATCCCAGCACTCAGGAGGCAGAGCTAGGCAGATCTCTGTGAGTTTGAGGCCAGCCTGGGCTATAGAGCGAGATCCAGAACAGGCACCAAAACTACACAGAGAAACCCTGTCTCGAAAATAACAACAACAACAACACTTCAACCAAAAGCCACTTATGGGAGGAAAGCATATATTTGGCTTGCACTTCTCGGTCCATCGTTGAAGAAAATTAGGACAGGAACCGAAGCAGGAGCTCCAAGCGGAAACCATGGAGGAATGCTGCTCCCTGACTCACAGGCTCACACTTAGTGAGCTTTCTTATATAGCTCAGGACCACCTGCCCAAGGAATGGTGCTGCCCGAGGTGGGCAGGCTTTCCTGCATCAATTAACAAGACACTTCCTTATAGACATTGCCCACAGACTAATCTGATCTGGGTTGAGGTTCCCTTCTCAAAGACTCTAGGCTATATCAAGTTGACAGTTGAAGCTAACTAGGGTAGGTATGACAGTGGCAGCTCTGGCTTTATGTGTTCATTTATTCCATTGCCTAGGTGGTATTTTCACCTAACAAAATACTAGCTGGGTTCCAAAATAAACCTCAAAGTTGTTGTTTCTCTTATAATAAAATAATGACACGACACAAATCCCTGACTGCTTTTCCCTTCCATCACTTGAAGCACAATGTGGGCTGAAATTAACCTCGGTTTAGAGACTGATGAACTTGGGGTCGTACAGTTCTCTACATCCCGCTCATCTTTTCTATTGTTTTTCTGTAAGTGCTGAGAGCCTTCAATAAGTAATGCTCACAGGTCATGGTCATAACTAAAGTCTCACAATCACTACTAGACTTATTAGAAGATGATGGAGAAAAGAAGGAAACAGGAGGGATGAAATAAAAAGGGGGGTAAGGCAGAGTGCTGGGTAATGTGCGGTTCTAGGTACATAATAAAATCTCTCTTTTTTTCTATTTTCTCTGAGGAAGATTTATTTTTATCTTGTCATTATTTTTAGGTTATCTCACATTTTATTATGAGATCCCATACATGTTTTTATACACTATTCTCAATTATTCCCCTCTTCCATTGCCTTCCCCATGCCCCTTGTCCCCAACCCTAGTTGGTTTGGAGCAAGTGATTTAAGTCTCAGTTTATCAGTTCAAAATTAGAGCTAGAAGGGAAAATGATGCCATAGGGTTACTATATAGAGCAAATATTAATTCCTATAGAGTGCTTGGACACTCTTAGCAGAGAGCTGGAGTGTACCAGAAGAGGAAATTGCATGTAGGGTAAGCCTTCTCCTTAATAGATTCTTTCTTTTTATTTATTTAAAAATTTTTATTGATTTTTGAAGAGAACTTTATATGAGTATTGGATTTTCACCATTTTCCTCTCCTCCCACCAACTCATCCTGTGTCTCCTCTGCTCTCTCTCAAATTCCTGGCCTCTTATTCTTTCATTGTTATGTAGATGGATAGACACACAGACACACAGACACACAGACACACAGACACACAGACACACACACACACACACACACACACACACACACACACACACACAAAACACACACACCCTAAATGTATAAATACAACCAGCTGAGTCCATTTAATGTTGCTTGTATATATATATATTTTTAGGGCTTGTGAATTGATACAAGATAGCCAGTTAGGGGACTCATTCTTGGAAAATATTGGTTCTTCCTCTCTCATAGTCATTAATTGTCTGTAGCTTGTCATCTAGCATGAGGCCTTGTGAAATTTTCCCTATTCATGTTGATATGTCAGTTGGTGTTGTCACTATTCTGGTTTTGTTTAGGCAACCATATTGCTGAGGTTTCATGGGTGCAACTGTCTTGCTCATGTAGAGAAGACACAATCTCTCAGCAGTTATCCTGGTCCTCTGACTCTGAAAATCTTCCCAGCCCCTCTTCTGTGGTGATTCTGAATCTTCCATGTAGGAGTTGTGTTATCGATGTATCACTTTGTGTACTCACAGTTAGTTCTTTACATTTTGACTAGTTGAGAATTTCTGTAATGGTCTCTGCTTCAAAAAGAAGCTTCTTGGATGAGGAAAGAGAGCTACACTTATGTGGATAGAAGGACATGTATTTTGACTGCAGTTAGAAACTGTACTGGTTTAGGGAAGTGTCAATAGTAAGTTCTCCTATAGGGTCCATGATCTCACCAGCCGCAGATGGTTGGCTAGGTTTACAGTACCAGGCATGAATTCCCTCATATTAAGTAGGCCATAAAGCCAATTAGATGATAATTGGTTGCCCCCAAGACATAGTGCCACGGTTGCGCTTCTGAAATATTTTGCCATGCTGGTCACTGTTGTGGTCTGTAGGCATGACAGCTATGAAGGACTATTGATGGCTTTTCTCCCTTGGCAGCTTGCACAGGACACTGGAATACAAGAGCTATTCCTCAGGGAGAAGGCTTTCAGGTCAGACCCAGTTCAAGTCCTCCAGGCTCTGGGTCTAAAGTGTGTGGTATCTTCAGCAATAAAGACTTGCCTTCAGATTCCTGGAGGAAACCAAGAACAGTGGCTACACTTATATTATCTAGAGAGTCTCTTGACTCTACTGGTCAATGACTTAAAAGGAGGCTTCTCATGCCTGGGACGAGGCTTTTTGTTAAATGGTCTGTGACTCTTAGGGGGATCATTATCACCCACATGGCGTAACTTTATTCAGACTACATAGATAGTATGTATTTATATATGTATATTATATGTATTTTTAAGCAAAAAGAGTACAATGTGATTCTCTATGGCTTTTTTCAAATATCATTAGTGTTATTTAGCCCTTCTCACTGTATTCTCTTTCCATTCTTCTCCCAAGCAATCCCTTCTGTTTCTTGAAGTTCCCCCTTCATATCACCTGTATTATGCTATTTTCCTCTCTCAAGAGATCCTTCTCACTCCTCCACTACCGCAGTCCCTCCTTACTCTTCTGATTCCTGTTGTTACTGGAGGCTATATACTCACATGTAGAGATCCAGAGCCGGGAACAGCAAAGAAGAGATCATGAGGCACTAGTTTTTCTGGGTCTAGGTCACCACACTCACAATATTTTCTACTTTCACAATTTACCTGAAAATTTCACTTTCTCTCAAAAAACTAAAAAAAAATCTATCCTATGACCCAGGTGTTCCACTCCTCAGTATATGTCTGAAGGACAGATACTTGCTCAACAGTGCCCATTGTCACTTTATTCACAATAGAAGCTATCATTTGTTTGGGAATGTCCTTCAACTGATGAATGGAAAATGTGGTACATACACACTATGGAATTTCATACCTTCTTTTTAAATTACTCACACAAAAGCTAGATAACAAAGAAGGAAGGGATTGGAATTATTCTCAGGGAACAGAAATGCTTGGTTTTTAATGATACTTTTCTGTACTGGAGAATACAGGTTCTGAGACAGTGAAAAAACGTTCATAGGATGTTTCTTCATGGGAAAGAAATATGCCACACAAAGCAGTGCTAGACAGTCACAATTTTTACTTATTTATCTTCATAATTGCTGAAGAACTAAGAGACATGATTCTGCTTCTTTTTATTATTTATATTTTAGGCATAATAGCTTTCCATTCTTAGCTACCACTTACAAACATGTTATGCATGTTTCCTTTTGCAACAAAGACCTAGGCTGTCTTAGTATTAAGGTAATAAACAAATATTTCAAAGTTCAAAGACTTTTGAATCTTTTATTCGAACCCATATGGTTCTCCATTTAAGGTACTTCATGAAGACTGGAATACAATAAATCATTTATAGACACAACTTCTTTTAAATTATGTATGCTGTCAGGTTTGCTTATTGATAGGCATAGCATATTTTCAAGAACATAATCTTGGGTGTTTAAAAATACATTAGGTCACCAGTTTTGTATATTAGGTTTCAGAGATATTTAACAATCTTTGGTACACACAAATATGTATATATTACTCATATGAATAATGAGGTAAATTTCATTTTTTTTTACCCTCTTAACATACTAATATGCTCTAAAAGATTATTAACACATTAGTCATAGTTACATTTGTATACATATTCATATGACCTTTATATGTGTGGAGAGAGATACATACACAGTGTATCATTGCATCTAAGAATGAGGTATTCTATGAGTATTCCAAATGAGTATATCTATAAATGAAGACCTTTGGTTTCTTTTTAAGAGATTATTTTGGAATTGGTATAGTTCCAAAAAATATAAAATCAAAGAAAGTGTGACAAACCAATTGAGAAAAATTATATTTAAATCAAGTATCTGGAGTGATGTGGTGATTAGTTCTATTTTGGAAAAAAGAGGCCTTTACATAGTTCTTTTTGTATTTCTCTTCTGCATTCTAAAGTGTTTTTTTTAAGCACATGCTAAAATCTTCTGTATACTTTTACGAAAGTGTGTGTGTGTGTGTGTGTGTGTGTGTGTGTGTGTGTGTGTATGAGCGTGCAATGTGTGTGCATGTGTTCATGTTATGTTTCAATTCACTAAATGTCATATATATGAAATCAATACCCATTGTGATATTTCTTCTTGCCTTCCCTTCCTTCATTCTTCATCAGAAGAGAGCTAAATACAAAAGTTTGACCTAAAGGAAGGTTGGAACTCTGGGTCTTATGCCTAATTATTTTCAATTTTCTTATCAGCAAACACATTTCATTGACATTTAGTTTTCCGATCATTTCTTGTTGAGGAATATTCTTATACTTAGAAGTATAATGAAATAACTTTGAAGACTTGGAGAGCTGACATTAACATTTAAAACCCCCAAAGAACTCGCTTGAACAGAAGATCTGTAGAGAAGGGTAGATAGATAACGTGGTCATCTGTGGATAAGGATTGTCTTAGGGACACTGCTGATGTTTAGCTTCCATTTAAAGCACCGAAGAAAGTAGTGTTGTAAACCTTAGTTGGTAGACTGAAGAATGATGCGGATGGAGTGGAGAAGGAAGTGTTGGTCATCAATCACTCATTACACATCCCATAACAAACAACCAGCTACTACTTCACTATCATACTTTGAAATCCCTGAAAACCCTTAGTGTGAAGTAGCCTTTAATGCTACTGTACAGTAGCATTAAATATACTGTATAGATGGCTACTAAATCTCAAAGTGTTTATGTGGGTCTAGAACATATTTTTTTTGAGACTAGCTCAGCAATTATAAAAATACCAAATAATTTTAATGTATGTAAAAATTAAAACTGACTCTAATTAAATGATTTGTATAAGCTAGTGCAGTCAATTTAGACTTTACCCCCTTCTCTCACTTTTGAAAGAACTGTTGCCCTAAACATGAACATTGCAAGAATGTGTTTTTGAGTGGGATGGCATGGCTGAATGGTGACTCTTTGGGTAGAATAAATACTAATATTGTTGAGAACCTTCACTCGCTGTGAGGGAAGTTTTTTTAAAAATGTGTATTTTAAGGTGGAGTGTTGATGTACATGAATGATTGGACGGTGAAGGTCTGTATAAGACGCCATCAAAGAACAAATACTATCTAGTTTCCCCACACTGTGGCCTTTCTGCAGGACCAGAATTTAAAAATAACATAAACACCAGGAACGGTAAATATGTATAAGCACAGAAAACAAGGTTTATATTTATTATTTTCAAATTTCACGCAGGCGTTTGTATCCCAGTGGACTGCCTGAAGAATATTCCTTTTTAACCACTTTTCGGATGACCGGAGGCACACTGGAAAAGAACTGGAACATTTGGCAGATCCAGGATTCCTCAGGGAAGGAGCAAGTTGGCGTGAAGATAAACGGCCAAACCAAGTCTGTTGCATTTTCTTACAAAGGACTGGACGGAAGCCTCCAGTCGGCAGGCTTTTCAAATGTGCCATCCCTGTTCGACTCCCGGTGGCATAAGGTCATGATTGGTGTGGAAAGAACCAGCGCCACTCTTTTCATTGACTGCGTCAGGATGGAATCCTTACCTATAAAGCCAAGAGGCCGGATCGATACCGATGGCTTCACTGTGCTGGGAAAACTTGCAGACAATCCTCGGGTTTCTGTTCCTGTAAGTACAAAATCACAAAGCACCACCCCAATGGTAGTGGAAGACAAACCCAGATGGGTAAAGCTCAGCACCCCAGACGTCTTGGATCATTGACTATAGTGCATACAATGAATAGCTATTCACTCCGTAGAGTTTATTAAATACACAACATCACTCATTCAAAAAGCCTTCACTGCCAGTTTTGACGCCATATGGAATACAGGCTTTTAGTTAAGCAGATAATCTTAAAGGAGGTTAAGGTCTACTTGGAGTCAAGGTGTTATACACCCACCTGGAGTATCCATGGGCTTTTGGGACAACTTATAGGGAGACCCACACTAGTGTAGTACATATCACATATATATATATATGTGTGATATATATATAATGAATCAGAATTTTTCAAATAAGGTTAGAGACAAATCATGAATCCAGTTAATCTAGGAGGCCACCATTTTTGGAAGCAATAAATTTTGAAAGGGAAGGACTTGAACTGGCAAAAGACAGCATAAAAGACAATTGAGGGAAAATAATTCAAGAATAACTAGGATGTGTTCAAAATCTAGAGACTAGTTGATCTGAGTAATATGTACGCATGTAAATGGTGTGTTTGTGGGAGGTGGGTGAAGGCTAGTAAACGCAGATGGTTAAGATGTAAAGCTGGGAAGTCATATGGTGTTTGATAAACAAGAATGAAAATTTTATAGGTGGTGTGATATGTATTCATTTAGAGTTAGGCTTTGTGTGATAGTGTACAAGAAAATAATTTAAAAAAATGATTTTTATTTTTAGTATGTGTCTGTTCACATGAGTGCAATGTCCTTGGACATCAGAGAGGGCATTGGATTCCCTGGTATCTCACAATCATATCTAAATATGATTACATATGATTGTGAGTAACCTGATATGGGTGCTGGGAGTTGAATTCTGGTCCTCAGCCAAAGCAGTACAGGTTTTTAACCATGGAACCATTGCTATTATTGGAAGTAAAGAATTTTAAAGCTCTGTTCATCATTTTACTGTACAAATCCATTGTTATGAAAGTAAGAAAGTGACATTACAGTTGTATCAACTGGTACCTTCTAGCTCTATCATTTTGAACACCGAGTAGCAGTTCTTTGGAATATTTTGTAGCATTTTGACAGTAATTTAAAAATACAACCTTAGAGGACAAGGATTCTTTTGCGGAAGCAGAAGAGAAAATTCAACATAGATAAACTGTTGATGTGAATCTGTCTCTTCTACTGTACAGAACTACTGTATTCCAGTCACAAAGTCTGTGTCACAGAGGGTGTCGAGGGTGACAGTGTGGTTTTGAATTGCTTCTGTGCACTTCTCTGGGAAAAAGAGGTTATTGGGGATCTCCAAATGGAACTGTTCAAGTAACTTGTTTTTACAGGAAGAGTTGTGATTAGTGTGAAAGTTGGTGTGAAATTTCTATATTCTGTGATAGACAGGAAGCAATTTGTAGCTGCCACATTACTGCTCTGGCTTGAAGACTCTTGAGAAAGTATTGCTTCGTCTAATGAGTCATCACACTTCAAGAGGCTGGGTTAGAAAGCTGATGTGGCCACTGTTGTGAAACGCTCAAATTCTGTGCAGCAGGAATTTTGAAACGACCCTAGAGTGTTTTTTTTAAGACAATACAGCCTCCCCCAGTGCCATTTCTGGACAAGGGCAAGGGAGTGAAGGTCTTAACACCTTCTCAAGGTACTGAGTGTCAGTTGTTTAAAAATGCATTTGTTGACCTTAAAAACACTTCAAGATCTTATAATTCTGCTTTCTTCTATTGAAGATGCATTTAAATTGTTTTATTTCCAGAGTGGCAAAGTCGCTATATTATTTTATTATACTATATATGCCTTAGTCAGTTGTAGATTTTCTGATAAATCTAGTCTCATGCCGCATTACAGAGAAGTGTATGTTGTTATCTTCTGTTTTCTTCTCCTCATGTAGGAATGTTGCTGATAATCTAGTATCTGGTTCTACATGGTGCTTCTGGTATAGTAAGGAGCTTTTCTAAGTCATTATGCTATCATCAGTGCTAAAAGGATTTGGTATAGACACATGCAATTTTTTCTTTTCAGAATGAATTCTAGACCTTTGACCTCTTCCTGGAGACAAAAGAGATCTGATCCTAAATCCCCACTAAAGATCAATATTGGGTGTTGTTGTTGATGGTGTTGTTGTTGATGGTGGTGGTGGTGGTGGTGGTGATGATGATGGTGATGGTGGTGATGGTAGTGGTGATGGTGGTGATGATGGTGATGATGGTGGTATGGTAACATTGATAATTAGATGGAAACTATAGGCCAAAAAAAATCCTGCCTCCATTAAGGACATCAAAATGACAAGCTCCAACTCCAATTCTTCCCTAAAGTAGCCTTCTTCGCCTTCCTCCAGCTCCTCATCTGCTTCCTTCTCAGCTGACTCTTCCTCCTCCTTTTCTCTTCCTCTTCCTCCTTAGCAGAAAAGCATAAAAGAGAAGTCCACTCATCCTTCAAAAAAAATCCCCTAGTGTTTTTAAAATAACAATTAGAAGTTTTCAAAATCCTGGTTTTCTAATTTCCTGATCTTTAGAACAATTTTGTAAGATAACCCATACAGATAGGGCCATTTCCACTTATTCAGTTAAATAAACCATCTCAAGTAAGTTTACTGGCTTGTAAGAGACAGAATTCATTATTAATTTTCTAATTTACTTTATTTTCTTTCATTTCAACCAGCTTTCTTTTGGGGGAAAAAGTACATTTTATGGGTGTTGTGGCTCACTTGGAAGGCAGAGGCAAGTGGATCTCTATGGGTTTGAGACTAGCCTTATCTGTACAGGGAGTTCCAGGCCAGCCATGGCTACCCGGTAAGACTCTGTCCCAAAAGGAAAAAAAAAGGAAAGGAAAGGAAGGAAGGAAGGAAGACACAAAAATGTGTCCTTAAACATTAATTCTGTTTGTTTATTCATCTAGTAAAGTTTCATAGAGTGCTTATGTGTTAGGTGTACAGAGTCAAGCAGGTCACAGATGTTGCCTCCACCAGGCTATGGAGGATGAGGTAGCTGTATAAGCTAGCAATGATAAGAAACATGAACAGCACCATGGTATTGAAATGTGCCATGCAAAGAGCTGGGCAAGCACCTCTGTCAGGTCAGCATAGAAGGGTTAGGAACAAAGTTCAGTGGGCCTTCCGAAAGGTGTCCAAGAGGAATCGTGGAGACGAGAAACAATGGTATTTGAGATAGATGGATTCTCATTAGGAAATTCATATATAGCAACTCATACCTTTCCAAACTGCTAAAGACTTCTTGTACTATCCCTCATGGTTTAAAACTAAAGCATTTAAGCATAAGTCTTCCAAGTCCAATTGCCCATGTATTGCCCTAGACCCCTGTTTTTACCTCAAAGTCTGTCATCTTAGCCTTTTCATCAACTTGTATAAAATCTGAAGTTACTGGGAATTATTGAAGACCACCACCAACTAGATGTTTCCTTGAAGGTCTTGAAGGGTGATGGCTAGTGATATGCATATGTCTTGAGAGACAGAAAACCCATACTAATGGGTCATCTATCTCTCAGTTTGGAGATAGCAAACATTCAGTGTCACTTTCTAAGAATTTTTAAGTTAAAAAAATAACACAAAATAGTTTGAAACCAGAAAGGCATGCACATGTTTTAGTATTTTCTGAATACGATTGGATTGTTTCTAATCTTCAACACTTTCTGTTGGTTGAATATTTGTTTCAGGGTCAATGCTTGCATTTCTTTAGTAAGTAAAACAAAAGCAAAATATCCTTTCCACAGGCATTATCAGCTGTCAAAGGTAGGTATAAGAACTGCATAATAAAAATGAAATCTGGGTGTTTGATGGATCACTAATGCTAAAAGACTTACTTATATTGTAGCTGTTTGTGACTTTCCCCATCCATCCTATCTCGTGTCCCTTCTCTTTTTCTAAATTGGAAAAAGAAAACAATTCCAGGAAGCTTTCATGAACACTCATGCGGTCTACAATTCAAACACCATCTCATCATTTATAGTTAGTTAGTGGGCTCGGAGCACTTTATATTTTTCCCCATGCATATCTGTAAGTTTGTTATTTTTGATTTTTAAGCAATAAATTCCTCATCTTCTATTTTCCCCTGTGCCTGTATTTTAGGATGGTGCCATTTATCCCACCGCAAAGCTTGGTTTCCTGGCAGCTTACCATGAAAACGTGTTACTTTATGACAGGTTCTTTATTGTTTGTTGCCAGCATGATTGCCTAGGGGAGTTATGTGATACAGCTCTATTAGAAAACAACGTTAGCCCTTCTCCCCTTTCAGGGGTGTATTCATTGGGAGTTTGCTCTTGTTTGAGGGAGGATAAAAGTTTATGTGGATTTCCCCATACATAACTCAAATCATTCTTCTCTTTACCTGTGCATATTCCCAGTAAATCAACATAGAACATGACAGATTTGATGCTATGTGGAGTGTGTCTCTGATGCCTTGCTATAATTTTTTTTATCTTCAGATTCAGAGAAAAATGCCAGAGCTGGCAAAACGGTTGAGGGCAGAGCTATCCCTCTTCTTCTTCTTTACTCTGTAGCATTGGATCACACTACCTACAAATGTGAACAACAGTGCAAGTCTCATGAACAATAACCTGGGAAAATATGTTTTGATGTCATGATCAGCATTTCTGGTATTTGAGAAATGCTGTAGGGAGTTACGGTTTTAGTGATTTAAGCAATGTACAATCTTTGCGTTCTGTTATTGATATTCAACAACTATTTTTAAAGTGCGAAGCTACAGGCATACTTTAGGTGACTAAGAAACATAAAAGTTAATGCCTAAATGGAGCTTACATTCTGGGGAGAGTCACAAGGAGGAACTGAATAGTTCATAGTATACCCGGATATCATAAATGTTATTGGGGAAAAGGAAATGGAAAGTGGAAATGGGACTCATTCAGAAGCAAACATTTTTGAGATAACTTGAAGGATCTGAGATAATATCCTGTAGATATCTTAGAGAGGAAGATTCCGGGAAGAGAGAACATGAGTGACGAGGGACAAGTATTGGTGTGACCTGATATTTGAGCGTTACTTGCAAAGCAGGGTGACTAGAAGAGGAAATGAGAAACAGCCAGTGGGGTCGCAGAGACCACAACATAAAGCATCTGAGGTAAGATGCTGAGCAGGCAGTTAGCTGTGAGCTTTTGGAGTTTAAGAGGCGGCACCAGATGGGAACTGAACTCTGGGAGTTGGGAACATTTATGTATCATGAAAGCCGTAAAGCCAAGTCATAAGTGTAATGCTGAGGACTTACTTCTGGATAGCCAGGATTATTGCCACAGTGAGGAAGATTTAATGAAAAGGAAAGAGGCTGCCATTAGGGGAGTGAAATGGGTTGTTGTGCCCTGAAAATTGAGGAAAAAGACTGATTGAAGGTGAATGACACAAGAATTGTTTCAAGTACTGGACAGGTCATGTAAGATGAAGACTGATAGTGGACTGTTGGTTTTAGAAGCCAGTGAGAGTGATTGGATGAAAGATCCACTGGCCTGGTGGGAATGGAAATGAAGCTGGAAAGGACTCAAGAGAAAAAGAGGAGATGCGTTGGAGACTGAGTATAGACTGTTTTGAGTTTTGTAGAAGGCGGTGTAGAAGACAACAGCTGGACAGGTTGTGGAGTGGGGAGAGGGAATTGTTTTCACTTTGCAGTTATCTTAGGATGTCGTAGCTCAGTGTGTAGAACTTCTTGAAGCCTACTATAATAGGTTCCTGCCTAAAGCATCAGACATGCAGACATTCTTCATGAAATGCCCTTCTAAATCCACCCACTTCTTACTATATTTATCCACTGAAGGAAAAACCTCTGACTATAACACCCCAAATATTGAAATCCCTTAGCTTAGAATTCACAGTATGGAAAGTCCTGCTGTGTGCTCTGCCCCAGCTAATCAGGGTCCTCCTCTGTAAACTTTGTCCTGCCCCAGGGCTTCATCCTCTCTTCAAAACCCTCTCATCTCCTCATGCGAAAATCTCAATTGTTGTTCGGAACCATTCACATATTATGTATTACGTGATGGCTTTAACCAGAAAAACATCTTACCATTTCAAGTGCTTTAGTAGTTATTGCAAAAAATATTTTAAGCACATATATGGCTTTACATAATATTTTTGTGTCCTCCATGATATTTACATCCAAGCAGACAATTTAATAAATGAAGATATTCTCAGTGTGCTAACTCCATGTTGGCGGCCAAATTCTCCTTTTACCATTCCGCTTCAGCCTTTGGTATAATCTGCCCATATTTAATTATATTTCCAGCACTATGTGTGAACCGCATGACTCATTTTACACAGAGTTGGGGAAACTGTTGATTCTGAGGTAGTTCAGAGCTTCCCGCTCAGTTCCTAGGAAGTGTCATCTCGAGAGATTTCTTGGTGATGGGAGAAGGCAACATCAAAAGCGGCAAATTGGGATAAGATCTGAACCCTCAGCATCTTAAAAATACTTTTTGTCCTTGACTGGACAGCTTAATGAAGGTTCTATTTTGTTAGCAAAAATTAGCTTAGGTGTTTAGTACTAGCTAACTGTAAAAATAATTCCGTTTATAAAAATCAAAACTTGTGCTATCCTCAGTAATCTGGAGTTGAGTTCGAATACTTAATCTTTCTCAACATCCTAGCAAATTTAATGGCAGTGGTTGTAACCCTATCATAAAGACTAGAGTGTTGGCATCTCGGCCCCAACACTGATGTCATTAGCTGAGCACTACGCTAGCTTCAGAAATTAAATTATCTCAAGGTGTTTTAGAAATGGAATATCTGGATAATGCCAAATCTGGACAGGTGTAAGAATTCCCACTCACATCACCCCATTTTCTTTGAGAGAAGGAGAAACATTTCCTGTTGAAAACGATGACGTTTCCTAAGGTACATTATGTTCTTCTTAATAGATTTTTAGAAGCTTCTGTTTCTCTAGTCACATTTTTTTTCTCATCTTCCAGACTAGGAACTGTTTGTGGAGAGAAAACTGATAGTTTGATGGCTTTCATAGACCATTCCCTCCATGCTTGGTTTATCTTGGGATTTAAGAAATGTTGACTGAAAGCCTAAATTAAAATATTTGTCACGTATATTTTGTCAGTGAGTATTCAAAGAGCAAAAGGATCCAGGTATGAAAATGAGAAATCAGCATTTTAGCTGTATAATGAAAGCGACTTTTACAAAAGCGCTCTGCCAATCTTCCTTCAAAATAATTAGCATGCAAATCGAAGTTCATATTGCATGCCAAAAAATGGTTGTTGTATAGCTGATTATTAGTGCGTAGGAGGTGTTTATGTGCATACGCAGATGTGTTCAGAAACCCTTGATCACTTCGAACAGCCCAGCTTGTATTCACAGATGAAATACATTCCATTTCCCCATTTTTTTTTGTGCCACAATTGCATTTTCTGCATATTTAAGCAGGTGCACCAATTTATCCAGAGAGTATTACAATTTTGGGATGACAGCTTAAAGAATTACTTCACATTTGTAATAAGTAACTTTGACGAACTATCTAAACAAAGGATTTAGGTTCCCTGGATAGCCATATAATTCATGTTTATCAGGTTGATCACTTTTCAAAACTAAAATTTCATGTACCTACAGTGCATACCTAGTTTGAAAGACCAATTCACATAAGACTTAGTGAATAAAACTGGGTGGAGTAGTCTTTTATTTTGAGGATTGGGGATGAGGAATATATCTTTTCGTGTCCTGGTTAAATGTTCGTGTAGTCGGTTGGGGGAAAAGAATGATAGTTCTCTTTTCCATGTGCTATTTTGTCATGCATATGAAAACACAACTGCATATAGACACAGCTGTTGATTTTTAGAGGATGTTTCCGGGTGGGTTTCTATAATAAGCACACAAAATGGGGAAAGTTTGGAATCTTTATGAAAGTTTCTTAGTTCATCTCTGGAGATTCTAGGAGATGAGCGTATACAGTTTTAATTTTTAGTTCTCGCTTCTATCCCTCTTTAATATAGATGCTCAGCTGACAAATACATTGGCTACCTCTTTCAAAAATATGGCCGGGCGGTGGTGGCGCACGCCTTTAATCCCAGCACTCGGGAGGCAGAGCCAGGCGGATCTCTGTGAGTTCGAGGCCAGCCTGGACTACCAAGTGAGTCCCAGGAAAGGCGCAAAGCTACACAGAGAAACCCTGTCTCGAAAAACCAAAAAAAAAAAAAAAAAAAAATATGACATATTATGGAGATAGTGTGCATTATTCAGAAATGTTGGGAGGTGTAGTAGAAAAATTATTAATATAATGTTCAGAAAATTTAGAAATCCTCTGCCCTTTCCTAGCTCTATGAGCTGCTACAAATGAGTTGACGTCCTTGTCCTACTTGGTCTGTGCCCAGCCTCAGGTGACATGCATTCCACTGACGTTAAGGAATAACTGACTCCAGCTCTACTTTTAAAACTTCTACTGCAGTTTAAAGTAAAACTCAAATAATTTTTTTCCCAGTCAACAAGACTAGTCTGATAAAGGTAGTGTTGGGCTGAAGAGGTTTCTTTAACTCTAAGAGGCTGTGTAGCTTGGCAAATTTTTTTGAGGAATGTCTTCATTCTATTGTTCAGTCAGCACAACTTGGTGCTCATGCCAATTTGTAGATAATTTTCCATCTTAAAGTGTGTCCTGCTGGCTGCTCAGGGTTTTTATTTCACTTGACTCTTGTTTTTTCCCCCCTCTTTAGAAAAGGAAGGCTTACCCTCAGCTTGTCTCTCCCTACCTTTCTTGGAAAGGAAGAACTTCCCTTTGCTTTGTCTCAGGTTCCTGTTCGACCCGTTTTCTACATCCAAATCCCAACTCTGGGTGTGTCTGCAGCAGTGGGGAAAATGTATCCCATATCTTTCTAGAGCTGGGAGTTCTAGAATCCATTTGGTAGGTTGGAAAGAATGGGAATCATGATGGTCTGAAAAGGAAGCATTAGTATTTAGATTGGAGCCCTGATCACTTAACCAGCTGCCTAGGGCCAGTAGAATTTACTGACCAAGAAAGAAGGAACTGATTTCAATTGCACAGCAAGGAACCTGCCTCCCTAGAAGGTGAGCCAGCTCACCTTTCAGCTTTTGGAGGGATTTGCAGGGTTTCTTGCCTTGTCATTTAAGGCTTTCTTCAGATTTAGACCTGGCCACTCTTGGCTTCCTCTATGTCTTCCTTGTTTTAGTCTTTCTCCCCTAACAGCCTACTGAGAGTATTAGAAATTGTCAGGACTAGATTACGAGTCTTTAGAAGAACAATGAATAATAGTATACAGAACTGAAATATTTTGAACACTCCTCCACATCACCAAGTTCTAGATTTTTCCACGACTCCATGGAGGATGTTTTCTTCAGGACTAAATTTTCCTTCTTCTCTTTGTTCTTTCTGTAGTCACCTCCTGCTATCTCTGTCTCTAATGTCCCAGGTGAAGTTTTAGAGTGTGTTTCCTGTGGATGTGGTAGTCCTGGTTCCTAGGACATGCTTTGGGCACTTTCTTGTTCTCTGTGAATCACATTTTAATAGCATTGACTTCTGAAGGTCGTGGCAAGAACACAAATGGGAAGTCGGTGCCGAAGGTCTGCTTCCAGGCTAGGGCTACGCTGGAGTGAATCAGAGCTAAGGACGTCTCCTGCCAGTGAGCAGAGGAATTTGGAAAAGCTTCCAGACATCTCCACTAGAAACTGTGCTCAGGAAAAAGCAAGAGCTGTGTGTGCTTTACTGAGCTCAGAAGTTCAGATGGTTGCTGTTCTGCTAAGGATTATAGATCATATTAACAACAACAACAACGAAATGTTCCTCTTTGACCTGCTCTCTCTGTCTCCCACCAGTTCGAACTCCAGTGGATGCTGATCCATTGTGACCCGCTGAGACCCAGGAGAGAAACCTGCCATGAACTGCCTGTCAGGAGCACAGTGAGTCCTTGAATCACCTGCAAAAGACACTTCTTCCCATCTCACTCTCTCCTCATCAGCACCAGTCTCTCTATGTCCCTCCTCCTCCTCCTCCTCCTCCTCCTCCTCCTCCTCCTCCTCTCTTTCCCTAGAGTCTGCCTGGCTGTACTGTCTAGCTTGGAATTAAAGAAACACAGGTCCTCCTTGCAACCTGGCTATAGAAACGATCACCAAGCAGGCTGGTGTCTGATCCATTTGGCAGCTCATTATCTCCAGAGGCACTGGAGGTCTCCTCCTCTGTAGGGCACAGACCCTTGGCAGCCTCCTGGCCCAGCCAGAGACTACACTGAGGAGGATGGGGTGGGGGAAGGCTGTGCATTGAGGTCTTGGTGCAGCTGCCAGGAAAGGGTTAAAGGGGACTGCTGTCATTCTACCCCTCCTCCCAGGCCTGTTAGCTCTCCTCCAATCCCCAGGACCCTCTCCAGGGCCATTCATAAACAGAAGGAACCTAGGTCCCCCTGGCCAGGCACCTTTGCAACTACTACTGCTCTGGCTGCATTTGGAGGTCCAAGTGCCACTTTATGCACTCAGCTCGGTCTAGACGTCTAGAGGGCAACAGGCATCAGAGCCTAGCCGGAGGATTGGTGGAGAGCATCGGGGATGGCCTGGACTGCCTGGGGCCCTGGAGCCCTTGGGCTGCGACTGCTGCTGTCAGGGCTCTGCTTATGTGCTGCTCAAGTAAGTTGTGTGTGAGTTTGCCGGGGCACCTTGTCACCTTCTCTCCATCTTTTTATTGACAGCCCAGCCAGACCACCGATGAGGTAAGCTGGGGACCAAAAAAAAAAAAAGTTAATTTACTGCAGTTTCCAAGTGTGTAACAGGAAAGGTAGCTGGTAGTGAAGATGTCCTGGTGAGAAGGCACAGAGAACCCTCAGGACTCCCAGGCCAGCTACCCTGCCGCCTGGAGCATCTCCCGCACGTAGAGTCTGAGTCTGAGCCTCAGATGATCCATTGATGTGGGGAAAAGGGGCCATTTCTCCCACTCGGACACCGACGCCAAAGGCACAGTACTGGAGATGACAGATGATTCCACAGGGCTTCCATGTTAGCTTGCGTCTGTTTTGTCTGTTCTGTTCTTTGTTGTTGCTCACTCACCCTTCCCCTCAACCCGGGTCCTACCCAAGGGCCAGTCTTGATGGTTAACAACGGCAGAAACTCAGGCAAACTTTCTCCTGCCGCTGTGGGAAGCCACTAAACTTGGAGATCCGGCTAGCAGTGCAGGATAGAAGTCTGGCAGCTCTGGATCCCCTCAGAACTCTAGCAACTTCTCCGCAGTCTTTCCCCCATCGGGCCCCTGGCAAGGGAGAGTGCTGCAGTCAGGCCGGGAGGCCAGGGGAGGTTTGAGGTTTCACTTACAGAGACCCCATTGTAACCTGTCTGGTCCTTGGAGTTTAGGAAAACAAAGTCTTCCTTCATGAAAGCAGCCTTCTCTCTTCCTCTCCCCCACCTTCCCCTCTCACCGTCCCTCCTCCCTCTAGAAGGAGAGAGAGAGAGAGAGAAAGAGAGAACGTTCCCTAAAGCAACAAGTTCATACTGTTTCAGGCACCCCTGTTGTTCCCTGTAGACAGTTGTCTCCAAGTGATACACAGGGCTCACACACCAAGGCTCTGTCTGAAAGTTGTGTAGCTTTTGAAGCAAGGTGCAGAGACTTACTTTCAGAGTGTCCCATGAATTGAGGTCAGGCTCCGGAATTCAGGGCTCTTCTGCCCCATCCCTCCCAGACCTAAAAAATGCCCCCCCCCCACTCCCACTCCCTACCCCCACATGCAGCCTTCTCCCAGTCTACTGGACAAAGAAAGGTTTGCAGCGGTAAAGTAACTATTTGTCCTGGGGCTGCTCCAGTCTCTCCTGCTCCATCTGAGACAAAAAGACTGGTCTGCAGTGGAGGTATCAGTGTCCCCCATAGTCATTTCTTAATTGCTTTTTTTTGGGAAAGTGGACATTAGATACCCCCTTCTTCGCAATTCCCTTCTTTTTAATGCATTCTGAGAAGGTGGGGCCAAGTGGACTCCCCTTCCATTAGCCCGCATCCATTCTGCTGCACCCTGGACAGTTTACCTCGCAGGAGGTGGAAATACACCACATTTTGGTTCAAAAAACTTACCCTCCATAGAGAGGCATTCTTGTCAGTGTGTCTGGGGGGAGGGTTCGGGGAGATCTTGCATAGTTGCTCAAGGTGCACATTATTCTCCATTAACCCCTGTGCATTGTTTTTGGCAGAGAGGTCCTCCGGGTGAGCAGGGGCCTCCAGGGCCTCCTGGGCCTCCTGGAGTTCCGGGCATAGACGGCATTGATGTAAGTTTGCATCTATCTACTTCGTTCTGCAGGACGGAACTTTCTCATACTTCCTTGGCTTTGGATGAGATTTTAGAAAGCACTGGTTGATCCCTTCCTATCACTCCCAAGAATAAAATTCAAGCAAAAGTTTTGGGTTGGACACTGTAGCCTGGGGATTCTTAGAGAGGAGACCTAGTCCTGTTGCCCCATGGGGCATGAACTTCCGTCTTTAGACCCTCACCCTGGCTTCCGCCCCTATCTTTGCGGTGTACATGCCCGAGACTGTCCCGTGGGACCCCAGCTACTCTTGCTTATATATTGCCTTTATCTTTTTTTTTCTCTGTCTCCAGGGTGACCGAGGACCGAAGGGTCCCACAGGCCCTCCGGTAAGTTGATTGGTGCTGTGGCGCCTCACTTCCTCCCTTAAGACGTGTTTTGTAGCCATGTGTGTTTGAAGAGTCTAAAATTTCTCTTCCTGCCTCCTCTCTTCTTCCTGCTTAGGGTCCTCCCGGAGAACCAGGCAAGCCGGGAGCACCGGGCAAGCCGGGGGCACACCAGGAGCTGATGTGAGTAGGGAGTGTGTGTGTGTGTGTGTGTGTGTGTGTGTGTGTGTGTGAAGAGAGAGAGAGAGAGAGAGAGAGAGAGAGAGAGAGAGAGAGAGAGAGAGAGAGAGAGAGAGAGAGAGAGAGAGAGGAGGAGAGAGGAGAGAGGAGATGAGGAGGAGAGAGAGAGAGGGAGGAGAGAGAGGGAGAGAGAGAGAGATGAGAGAGAGAGAGAGAGAGAGAGAGAGAGAGAGAGGAGGAGAGAGAGAGAAGACGAGAACACGCTGCTGCTGTGGTACCCTGCAAAAATGTCATGGCAAGGTTCCACAGCACAGAGCTTTAACATCTCAGAAAAAGTCACGACTTTATGGGTTTCCGTTCTCTAAACAGTCACTCCCTATTCACCCTATAACCTCTCACCTCCACTGCCTGCTTCGGGAGAGGAAGGTGGTAGCATGTGGATGCTGGTGGGTGGGGTGTTTAGGTTTCACAGTAGATGAGTTTTGCTTTCTTCTGGCACTCCCTGGATTAACGGGAAAAGATGGAGTTGGAGTGACGGCTCAGTGGCCTAAGAACATTGGCACAGTTCATCCAGAGGACCAGGGTTCTATTCCCAGCACCCACATGGCAGCTCATAACCATCCCAGGGACTCTGAGGCTCTCCTCTGGTCTGGGAACACAGCACCAACATGGTACAGAGGTACACATATAGGCAAAACACCTAAAATACACAAAATAATGAAACAATTTAAAAAATTAGAAAAAAAAAGAGCTGAAATCAGGGCGGGTGTAGGAAAGGACAGGAAGTATTTCAGTTTCCAGTAATATAAAAAATGAAAATTTGTTTAAAGTGAGTGGAGGAGTATGTATGGATCTAGTAGGGACAGGAAATGGTCAGCACAGGTAAACAAGAACTTAAAAATCAGCTTGGGAAACAGGAAGCTAAGAATCAGTTGAGAAGACATTCAGATGCCCAGGTACATGGTACCTACTACTTCTCCAGAGTCAAGTTGCTCCCACCTTCTCAGCAGCCTCTTTTCCTGTGCATACTACTTGGAGCTGATTTGGTCCTTCATCAGGACTTGATTTTTTTTTGTCTCTGGGTTGCAAAGAGACAGCATTTGTTTTCTAGGACTCTCAAGTTCAACCTCCCAATCAACTATTATTTTCTTGTTTGGCGAAACCTAAAAGCTTTTCTGAAGAAAGCAAGCACCTCAAAACCTATACCTGCTATTTCAAAGAATTTTTGCTAGTGCTGAAGAAAGCTCCATTGTTCTGAGAGGACAAACCCGCTGGATTTTAGCTCTTACTCAGACATGTGTCTTTTGTTGTGATTAACTTGGTGTGGGTGTATATTTCTGCATTTATTTGCTGTTTCAGGAGACACCCTTTGTTTTACAATTCAAAGTTTCTAGTCTGATTTCTTTTTCTTTTTTTTGTGTGTATTTCAAATGGCATTGCATGAGCTCCTGTGGATTACTGTGTGGATAATATCAACTCATGTTTGGTTCCTACACATGAGATCACATAACTTGTTGACTATCAAGACCTTTGAAGTTGAATTACTTGAAATTGTCAGATCCCAGTAAGAATGTTTCTTAAATGCCCTGGCACTAGGTAAGCTACTAGTATAGTATAAGTTGATTTCCTCTCTACATTTTTTTGAAACTTCAACCAGCCTTTCATTTGGGAGGAAGAGAAAATTTCAGATTGCATTTAAAATAATATGGTTGAAGCATAAACAGTTCATCCAAAATCTTATCTTCCTGTTGAACTTTAACTTAAATTCAGTCAGAATGCTGGACTTCAGTGTCTCCCAGTCTGTCTGTCTGTTTATGTATATAAGATCTTGCAGTAGCTCAGCCTGGCCTGGAGCTCGCAATCCTTCCTCAAAAATGCTAGAATTATAGGCATGTACTACTGTGCCTGCAGTAACCCAGATAGTTCCTCAGTGTAGTGGTACTTTTGAAGCTTGAATAACAGTTTTGCTTTGTTTTTCAATCTCAAATTGTAAGCAATCTTTTTCTTTTCTTTTTAGAAGTTGTGTTCCCATGTGGACAAGTGAAAGCACTCTGACTTTTGTAGTAGTAGAACAGGAAAACAATTGCAGGATTTTTTTTATTTACTGTCTATATTTCTAGACAAAAGTGTGAAGATACCCAGAGTGTGAAAAAGAGAACATTTTCACTATCAGAAGCAGTAAGAGCTTCTTAGATGATCGATCACTTCTGTCCCTGAAGTGGTCCATAAGAAGAAACTCAGGACAGAAGAAAGAAAAAGACAGAGGGAAAGGGAGGTGAGAACAGGGAAAAAAATCTATGCACATGCTGGTGTTTTAGGCATTCCTTAGATATGAGGGAAATAAATTAGCTGTGGCATTTTCATATGCTTGGAGTGTTTTCCTCATGCACGATCACAAATATCACTCCCTTCAGCTTTACCGTAGCCTAGGAAGTAGATTATTCTAATGTTATTTTCCCATAAAAAGGAAAATGAAAAAAAAAAATATATAAGGACAAATAATTTCCTCAGAGACCTAGACTTATGCAGCTGCTAAGACAACAAAGACTTTTTATATATTTATTGAATTCATTTTAGGCAACTCAGTTCTACCTCAAGCTGACTCCAATGAGGTTCTTAGTACATGGTCAATCATACCACCCTAAATGTGCTGAGTATCATCTTAATAGATGAGTGGATGGAAAGAGTAGAGGAAAAGAGTGATAGCAGATTTTTGGTACCTAAGTTACTAGTTAAGAAGAATGCTATGTAACACAGTAAGTGTGGAAAATTGTTTGCAATTGACATCCAGTGATTGCTTCTGAGTAATTTAATGGTTGATATCCTTCTACCCTTGAATCAGAGCCATTCAGGACTTCTGGGATGGGGAAGTTTTCTTACTGCACTTTCATTGAGTTGACATTAAAGCCTTTTACTGTAATTGAGAAAGGACATTTTGAGAACAGTGAGCAGTCACCCCCTCAGGGTGTACCATCACCCCTGCCTAGCCACTGGGGAATAAAACACATAGGAAAGTTCTGAAAGAACTGTTTTGACAGTGATCTCGGGGACCTTGGTGTCCAATCTCTTTGTCTTTTACTCTTTGTTTCACAGTGAAACCTATTTTTTTTGGTGATTTTTAAAAAATGATTATTGTATGATGCTTGTCCGAATCTGAGAGAGGGACTGCATTTCCCGTGTGCAGGGAAATGATAGATAGATTTGTCATTACAGCTCTGCTTCTAGTAGTAGTACACTTTGTTGTCACCAGCTGAGCTGCTGGGATGCCAGAAGTCAACAAGAAGCAGGATGCTGAGGACAGGTATTCCCTGACAAATGGCAATGTGAAGGCTCAGAGCACAGCTCCAATATTGTTCTGTATGGAGCTCTGTCTGCATAAACACCCATATGAAGGCAATTCCCCCTGCCATTGGTGAGACGTTCCTCTGTAATTTCTTTGAAATTAGATTTAGAGAGTTTTATTGCAAATTGGATTTTGAAAATTGTGCATGCTGTGTATTCACATATTTCCAGTCTCTCTCCCCACCCATGGAAGTTGACTCTTCTTTTCTTTTGTCGTTATATAGAATAGAGATGCCAGAGCCTGTTTATAACCTTTCACCCAAAGGACAACTATGTTATTCTTATGGATAATAGTCAATAGAGAGATTATTGCAGGTGTTGTTTGTTACAGAATACCCAGAGAGCTCTGTAAACAGTATTTTATTCTTACAAGAACCACACGAGACAGGGAGAAGTGCAGTTACGTATAAAAATCGTAGTTAAATTATGTGATGTCATACAGGCATGATGTTAAATGCTCTTTTCTCTTTGAATGGGCATGACCAACACCCCTGAGAAATGTTTCACAACAGGAGTAGTTGGTTAAGACATTATTCTGAAAGGTCGGGGTTCATGAAAATGGTTAGACATTGAAGAAACCTGAGGGGGCAAAGAAGTGTCATGCTGTGGTTAGCATCCAGATTCGGTTTGTTTGTGGGGACCGTTCTGAATGAGCATTAGAGCACTGTGCAGTTAAGTAATGTGCACAAACTTGCAGCAGTAGGTAGGGTCAGGGTCTGGTCCACATAATCAAAGAGGATCCAGAAGAACCCTTCTACACGAAAGGTGAACCTAAGGTTAACGTGTTCACTCATCATGGATTGAGTGTGGTAGATGCCATGGGCAATGGGCCAGGACTATTGAGTATGGAGTCCTTTCTCCTCCTTTTCCTTTTGTCTCCTCCCCTCCCCTGTCTTTCCCTCTCTTCTCCTTCTCTTTCCCCCTTCCTGTTTCTTACCTTCTCCCACCTCTTTCATTTTTTGCTAAGACATGGTCTTGCTTTATAGCAGTCCAGCAACTTGAATGTAGCCCAGACCAGCTTGGAACTAGCAGCTCTCTCCCCTCAGGCTCCTGGGTGCTGACGTTACAGTCATGAACCACTGCATCAGGCAGGCTACAACTTTTGTACATAGTGATTTCATAACAGACTTCACTGTAACAGCCAACATCAAATCCTCTTTCAACTTAATGCAAAGAACTTTCCAACAATAGATGTAATTACTAAGATCCTATGAAAGGTATTATAAACATGAGTGGCTTAGAACAGCCCTCAGGTTATCTAACACTTACTTGATTATGCTTTAATATATTACATATATAGTAGTTATCATCCTCTGCTCTTTCAATTATTCCAGTTACAAAATGAAGAAGTTGACTTTATGTATGAAAATTGACAAGGATTTGTCTTTGAAGGTGTACATGTGACGTGGGACTTAGAGAATCCACTAAGCATGCCCCAAGGGTTTAAAAGTGTGTACAAAACATACACCAAGAGAGTACTCCTGAATGTGTGGTTTCTTTGCTAAATCTGGGAAAGCAAACAGTTTATTACTATTAGCATTCCGCAATTAACAATATCATAGCTCTTACTCATACCTCATAGTCTTCTAATAGGGAAAATGAAAACTGACATCTTAAAAATTGTGTATGTTTAATATTTTGTTGTTGGTAAATTTCCAGTAACTAACATTTTCTATTTTTTTCCTCTAATTTCTTTGGTCCACGTTATAGAATTGCTAGAGGACTTGCTAAGAAAAAAAAATGTAAAAATGTCAGGGCTAGGGAGATGGTTCAGCAGTTAAAAACTGATGGTTTCTGCAGAGGTCCTGAGTTCAGTTCCCAGCATTCTTGTTGGACAGCTCGCAACCACCTATGTCTCTAGCTCCATAGGCTCTGCGGCCCTCCTTCATTCTCCTCAGGGATGATCTGCACTCACATGTCCACACACACACACACACACGTGCACACGCGCACACACACACACTTAAAAATAAAGTAAAATGTAAAAAATGATAGACTACAAGTTTTATATAAATGGCCTAAAAGCATCTATTTGGTATTTATGACATGAATTTCAGCAATCTGGTTTAGATAGAGTTTCTATAGTTTCAAGAGGCCTCTCTCTTAATGAATATTTTTCAAATATTGATAATATAGATTTTATGAGATATTTGTATGCATGTATACACAAATATATACACATGTATGCACACACATATATATATATATCTTTATGGAAATAGGATTTCAAGATTACATTACAAAGACAATATCTGAAAATGTCTAATTACAAAGAAAAATTGTGAAAAACTGAAATTCACCTGTTGAATGTAGAAAATGTGGCCTGCATGCAGTCTTTTTTTTTTTTTTTTTTGGTTTTTCGAGACAGGGTTTCTCTGTGCAGCTTTGCGCCTTTCCTGGGACTCACTTGGTAGCCCAGGCTGGCCTCGAACTCACAGAGATCCGCCTGCCTCTGCCTCCCGAGTGCTGGGATTAAAGGCGTGCGCCACCACCGCCCGGCCTTGCATGCAGTCTTATCATGGTTCCATATCTACTTTTTAATTGAAGATGATGATTACATAAGTATTAATAGAAACAATAAAAATAGATAGAAAATACATTTAATACGTCTTGGAATGGAATATAATGGCTAGACATATATAGTAAACTTAATCTATACATAGCAAGTAACATACATTGTTACATGTTTTTACTAAGGAAAACGCATGCTTTCAAATTTTTTTTAACTGAAAAGTTAATATTCTTCACTAAGCTACAGCTAGAAGATAACTAGAGGGTTAAAGATGGCTCTAAGTGATAATAAAATAATATAATATACAATAAATATTGTATTATTTATTACAACATAATTGTAATATTATAATACTATATATAATATTTATTATATTATAATATATTAAAATAATATGATAAAATCATAATAAAATTATTTGTCTTTAATTTATATTAAGAAAACATTGCATTAACTTTCAAGACATTATTAACCCACATCTAGGAAGACATCTGGTATGGTATTTTTATTTTGTAGGTGAAGTAAAGTAGATACAAAAACCCTGCAAAGGGACAGAGTCAAAGCCCAACAGACTAGAGAAAACTGTAATAGTTACATTGTATTTTCTCAAAGCAGGGATTTAAATATCCCACTAAATTATTGAACTTGTGGACGGTGCACTTACCAAATTGTAAAATTTTCTTTCTTCCTTTCTTTTTTCTTTTTCTTTCTTTCTTTCTTTCTTTTTTTTTTTTTTTTTTTTTTTTTGATTTTTTGAGACAGGGTTTCTCTGTGTAGCTTTGCACCTTTCCTGGAACTCACTCTATAGCCCAGTCTGATCTTGAACTCATAGAGATCTGCCTGGCTTTGCCTCCTGAGTGCTGGGATTAAAGGTGTGCACCACCACCGCCTGGCCCAAATTGTAAAATTTTCAGCAAATGAGAAGTCAAAAGCAGATCCCATGTTAAATGTTTTAAATAAGGATATATTGGAAAGTGTTACTTAATAAATACTTGTGTTATCCATGTGTTAACCAACTTATAGATAATTAGTAAAATAAAAACTTTCTGCCCGATGTTTTTTCTAGGGCTGTTACAATAGTGCTGATATCATCTTCTTGCTTCATTAGGGATTAACAGGACCTGATGGATCCCCTGGCTCTGTTGGACCAAGGGGACAAAAAGTAAGTTAGCCACTTGGTGTTAATTATATATATAGTATCCTCAAATGCCAACAAATCACCTCAAGAGAAAGTTTGCAAATCAACTGAAACACTGAACATCAGGTCAACTGCATTAATGATTTTGGTATCTATCAATTTGCATATATCCATATTAATACTACAAAGAGATAAGTCCAGTGAAGCTGTTTTTATTTATTTATTTATGTATTTATTTTAGGGAGAACCTGGTGTGCCTGGATCTCGTGGATTTCCAGTAAGTATTAGTAGCAATAAAGCAACAAAACTGAAAATATGTCTTTAGGTGAAATTCCTCCAGTGTGAAGAAAAATGTAATGCAGTGTTCTACATAATACACACGACAAAGGCCATATGACCCATCTGGTATGGTAGGTATATATGTGAGTAGAAAAGTTCGAAGAGTATGTGATAAAGTACACGTTCATATCAGGTGGGATTTCTTTTTTTTTTTTTTTTTTTTTTTTTTTTTTTTTTTTTTTTGGTTTTTCGAGACAGGGTTTCTCTGTGTAGTTTTGCGCCTTTCCTGGAACTCACTCTGTAGTCCAGGCTGGCCTCGAACTCACAGAGATCCGCCTGCCTCTGCCTCCTGAGTGCTGGGATTAAAGGCATGCGCCACCACCGCCCGGCCAGGTGGGATTTCTTAATGTCATTATATTTTGAGACAGAAAGAGTCTTACTCTGTAGCCCAGGCTGGCCTGGAGCTTATCATGTAGCTCAGGCTGGCTTTAATCTCACAATGATCCTTCTGAGGTGTGAGCCACAATGCCTAGCTGCAGCTGGTGTCTCTGTCTCAATGCTAGGGGACGTTGAGCAATCGTAGCAAGGATCCAAGTGTGGTCTAATTGAAGTCTCAGCCATGCATCCTGCTCCTCACAGCTGTGTATCTGATCGGATCTCAGCCGATGAGCTATCACCAGCCTCGGTCCTGTGCTGCTCACCAGAGGAGCATAGTGTTGTATGTAGAAGGATTAGGCTTGCTTGCTCTTTGCTCTTTTTGCTATTGCAAAGTCTGCGTCCTCTCTCCATTTGACCGGCTCTCTTTGCTTCCTTTTATCACCCCTTCTCTTTTTATTGGCTGCCTTGGTTCCCTGTGACAGTTTTACTTCTACTTTTACATCATCTATTCAGACATTATTTCACATAGTTATTACATTGCCATATATATTATTATATTATAAAATTATTATAATATAAATGTTATTTATATAAGTCTCTATAAAATCTAGGATTCACAACTTAAAAAAAAGTGATGCTTGTCTTTCCGAGACTGACTTAATTTGCTCACGGTGATCATCTCCATTTGCACCTTTTTCTGGCTTGCTGGAGTTTACTAGGCTCTGTACTGGGAATTGGGATGGAGATGATAAGTAAGATGTGGCTTCAGCCTGGGATTGTGTATAGTCTGGTGTGCATAAAGGAATATGAAGGACAGAGGAAAAGGAGGTAAAATGGTGATCTTTCCAACCAAATAGCATATTCCACGAAGATCCCATTATAAGTTATTTCAGGAGTGATATCAATTTAAATGTCTGTTAGAGTTAGTGCGTGGAAATATAGTCATACCTGTTAAAAGGGGGACACATTTATTTTAAAGATTTATTTTTTATTTATGCATGTGTGTGAGCCTGCATGAGTTTATAAGTGCCATGCACACGCGAGTCCCTTGGAAGCCAGAAGGCACTGGATTCCCTGGAGTTGGAATTGAAGGTGATGTGAGCTGCCTGATATCAGTGCTGGGAGCAGAGCTCAGGTCCTCTGTCAGAGCAGCAGCACTCTTAATCACGGAGCCATCTCTCCAGTCCCAAAGGAAATACATTTCTATAAAGAAGTTTCCTCTCCTCTGCCTCTCTGTGCCTACAGCGTGTTTATGGGAATGTGTGAATATCATTTAGTACAGATTTCTTAAATAGATGAAGAAAGTCTTTGAACTCTCTGATGTGGCTCTGTGAGTGAGGCCAAGCATAAATGGCTTCTTTACTAATATGAGTGAGGATGAGCATAAACGGCTTCTTCTGTGAGTGAGTGGAAATGGCTTCTCTACTGACTTTCTTTTAAAATCCTTAGCAAAACAGTTCTGGTCAGCATAGACTCAAAGGAAGCCTTGAGGGACAGAAACAAACTTCTGGCTTCATCTGAGGCAGAGTGACATTGCTTCCACTATCCAGGGCTTTCTTCCAGTGAGCATCGCTTGTCTGTTTACTCAGTGTTAGAGTTTCAGACTCTTGTGAACTGAGCCATGACTATGACAATGTTTATATGACATTTAAACCACAAGCCATAAATATTTTTATTTTGATCTTTTAGGGCCGTGGTATTCCAGGACCCCCTGTACGTATCATTTCATTATTTATTTTTTAAAATATTTTAGAAAATATTCTATTTCTAAAAGCCTGACCTGACCCTGTACCTACTACTCTAACCAGTGGGACTTAATAGACTTTTCTGTATGATATTATGTAGCTCCTAATGACAGCATCACTATTCTGCAAAACAAAAATACCAATTAGGAAAGTGACCAATTTAGGGAATTTCTGCTCGCTGTTATATAATTAAGGTTTTGTTAAATAAATTGTTGTCTCACTGCAAGTCAACGGAAGCAAAGATTCTAAGTCTGTTCTTTATCATCTTTGATAGCAATTATGATAGCCTGTAAGCATTATTATAAATCAGTTTGTACCTTTGATTTGTTGACTTCAGGGTCCTCCTGGGACCACAGGACTTCCTGGAGAACTTGGGCGTGTAGGACCTATTGTAAGTACCGTGGTGAATTTTGATTGATATTTGATAAGTTGAAAGAAGAAGCTACTGATGAAGGCAGATCACCGCACTGTGCACCTCCCCTGAAATTCCAGAAACTGTAGATGAATTTTATTCCAGTTGAGCATCTCTTCCTTACTTGAAGATTGAGTTTCAAATTAGGGAGTATCATCTCATTGTCATACTCTCATCTAGAATTGGGATCCAGTGGCTTTTGTGTTAACTATCCATATGAAATTGAACAATAGCACTCAGTTATCACCGTGTATATTCATAGTAGAAGCATTAAATTATAACCAGAATTTAATTCTAATTGAACAGAAAGAAACTAAGCTTGATTGAGAAAGTTGTTGATAAAAAAAGTGTTTCATGAGCCAGGTGGTGGTGGCTCACGCCTTTAATCCCAGCACTCAGGAGACAGAGCCAGGCAGATCTCTATGAGTTCGAGGCCAGCCTGGTCTATAGAGCAAGATCCAGAACAGGCACTAAAACTACACAGAGAAACCCTGTCTCAAAAAACCAAAAAAAAAAAGTGTTTCATATGATATTCTAAAAACATTAAAAAATGTTGAAGCATTGATATTATGAAAAGGTAGGAAATTATAATCTCATTGAGGGAAGGAGTCAGATGGCATGTCATCTTTCTTGCTCTGTACATGTGTTTCCTGTTTGCAAAGTTACTTACATATACGTTACAAATAAATGAATGATACAAATGATTATGTATTTAAAATAATTATGATGCTTCTGACTTTTTATGTGGAATGTTAAGAAAGAAAATGTGCCAGTAGTAAAAATGGGACGTTCAGAGTGGTCTGTGCCTACTTTCACCGGAATGGCTCATTTTAATTTAGCAATCTTTGCTTCACTGTCCATTGCAAGAGTTCAGTGACAGATCAGGCCAGGGGACAGCAGAAGTAAGACATGGTTTTGCAGAGATGGATCCTCCACTCTCAGATTCGGGCTGGGTACACACTTTCATTTGCCTTAATTATCTGACAGTAGTAATACTGGCTACTCTGGTTTGTAAACCAACTGGAATGATACATGGGATTTCTGGTTTGTGTTTCAAGTGGGGAGAGTGATCATCCTATAGATAACTGGCTTTATATCTGCGCCCCCCCCCCCGCATCCCCTTCCCTAACTCCCCCTCCCCCCCGCCCCACAGTGTCTTCCTTTGCTGTATTTTCTGCCTTGGTAAGACCAGTATTTTTTTATTTGCCTGGTCTAATTGGGTTTTGGTGGTAGGTCTATGCCTGCCTGAGTTCTGATAGACTTTCAGTAATACTATTCTCTCATGACTCCTCGGTTTTATGTACTGTGTTCTGAATTTTGTGTAACTACTGCATCTCTATTTGGAAATGACCTAGGGTGACCCTGGGAAAAGAGGACCGCCTGGCCCCCCTGGACCCCCAGGACCCAGTGTAAGTAATTTCCAGTTTAAATCTGAGAGTGAGAACTGAGTGAAGAAATCTCAGAAACAAACGTGGAAATGTCTATAATCAAGTCATTGTTCTGCACTTCCAAAATGGCTACTGTGTTTTTCTTTTCCTTCCTTCCTTCCTTCCTTCCTTCCTTCCTTCCTTCCTTCCTTCCTCCCTTCCTTCCTCCTTTCCTTCCTTCCTTCCTCCTTTCCTTCCTTCCTTCCTCCCTTCCTTCCTCCTTTCCTTCCTTCCTTCCTTCCTTCCTTCCTTCCTTCCTTCCTTCCTTCCTTCCTTCCTTCCTTCCTTCCTTCTTTCTTTCTTTCTTTCTTTCTTTCTTTCTTTCTTTCTTTCTTTCTTTCTTTCTTTCTTTCTTTCTTCACTCAGAACCTGGTTCATTTTAGAACCAGGAAAGTAGAGGAACCACAATAATCTAAAAGATGATCCCCAGAGAACTCTTGTTGGCTGCCTTTTGATAGTTGTGATTTCTTAAGAGCTTAAAACTTTGACAAGCAGAAGAAGCATTCTCAAACAAATTGGTTCTTGCTAAGTTTTTCATAGTGGAAATAAAAAAAATAGTTTAAGTATGTGATACTCTGTTTTCATTCCTGTGCCAGAGTTCCCTACTCATATTGGGAACTTGTCTATATTGTGAGTCATTTAATCTCCCCAATGAGGTAACCAATTACAGTTTAGGGATCTTTGAATGTATCATCCATCAATAAGTCTTCAAATACTAACACATGTTTCTATTTTTCCTTTGTATTTCATAAAATCAATACCCTTATTATATTTTGCACCCTTATTATATATTGCAAAATACATATTTATATTTTGAAATTTCTATTACTCATAAATTAGAGTAAATCATCTAGTTTTATTCTTAACTTTTGTATTTTACTTACTTTAGGGAACAATTGGATTTCACGATGGAGACCCATTGGTAAGATTTTTCCTTTGAATAAAATATGGTTTGTAATTCTTTATATTAGCATATATTAATATAAAGCAATGAGTTTAATCATGGTATTTTATACATGTGTATCATGCAGTACCATGTAGTAGTTTTAATGTAAAGACCATGTAGTCTTCAGATGAGCTGCTTTTAAGATGATCTGACTGGAATATACGAGACTTCCATGTTTTATTTTAACCCAGACCACAGAGCTGTGTGGGCTGATGGCTCATGTGTTCTCAGGATATCCAAGTTTTTTCACTGGAGAGGAATCACTGTTTCTTTTTAAACCTTTGGTTTTATGGCTGAGGTGTGATTTCTCACGGGAGTACTCCAATTTTGGGAGAGCTTTATGTTCAGATGAGCAGTCTAAGGACAGTGGTCAACTGTACTGGTGTAATTTTGGCCCTAAGGTGAAAGGCTGGGACCTCAGGATAGGGCTGCTTCAATGGAGAAGGCAGAACCCAGACAAGGCCCTGCTGCCACCCACTCTCCTAAGAATTTCATTTCTTTTATTAGATCTGAAACAAATATGAGTAAATACTAATGCCTAACATGTGGAAGATGAGTACGTGGCAGGATATCTGTTGGATTCTCTGTATTTTTCTGTATTTAAAAGGAAAACACAGGAAAAAGATACTCAGAGTTATTTAATGGTTATAATTGCTTTGGGGTTCTATCGCTGGACTCTGAAAAAAACTCAACCTTGTCACAAATTGGGTTCTCGAGTTTACTTCTCCCCTCTCTCTTTGCCAGTGCCCCAATTCCTGCCCACCGGGTCGCTCTGGATACCCAGGCCTCCCAGGCATGCGGGTAAGAAGAATTCCATTATTTTATCTTCAAGAGTATACTATGTGGAGAAAGAAGGAGGGCATTTAACCACTGGCCTTGGATGGATTAGTCCAGTCTGCCTCTGCTCTTTCTGTCTGTGGCCCCTTCTGAGGTGCATGTGCTCAGTTATACAATGTCTGGAGTTCAGGGAGGAAATGCCCATCGTATGATCTGGGCCGGGAAACTAGAACATGAAATCCAGGGTCCGGGAAACTAGAACATGAAATCCAGGGTCCGGGAAATTAGAACATGAAATCCAGGGTCCAGGAAACTAGAACATGAAATCCAGGGTCCGATGTTTGCCTTCTATGGGAGAAGACAGTGGTAGGGATGTGGAGGGAGACTGTCTATATGCAAATTTGAGAATGTTCTGGTTAAAAAACAAAAAATAATTGGGAAAACTGTGCAGAACAGATTTTCCTGAAGGTGTTTTTCTCCACTTTCTCATCATGATGCTTCAAAATAACCTATTTTGGAAAAAAAAAATGGATGCTGGGGATAAATTGCTTTCCCCTCTAGTCTCTGAGTCTAAAGTGATTCTGAGAAAGTTCAGACCCGGCTCTGCTATGATCTGGAAGGCTCTGAGGTCAGAGCCATGGGTTTTCCAAAGGTTTTCTCTAATTACAGTTGGGTCGGTTCTCTGGCTGGGGAAGGCTTAGGCCTATATGGGGGGGTCTTATTTTTCTAAAAGACCAGAGAGAGGCGAAATTTCCAGCGGACCTAATTTGGGAAGTTGGTCTCACAGTTTGCTGGGCATGACTGCTCACAGCCCACATGTGATTGGCACAGAAGGGACTTCCCCATGCCCCGCTGGGGTGCCCCTTTGATTTCGTTCCTGGCTCCTTCCTTTTTGCGCTTCCCACTGTGGAAGGAAGCGACTGTGCACCTGAGAAGTCTGCTCTCATGCCAGCCCTTCCCCTACCTCCAGGAAGGAGTTGGCCATAGAGGAGGAAGAGGAGACTTCAAAGTCGTCACCAGAGAGCAAGAGATAGCTGGGTCAGCTTCTGAAGGGTTAAGTTTCTTGTGGTGGAGAGGACTGAAGGCTCTCAACCTGACCTTGGTGCTGGAAATGGAGAAACCAGAGAGAAGGCGGGAACCAACACATTGTGTTGCTGAACTGGGTAGCAGGGCAGTTGTTAGTCTAGAGGAGTGTGTTTTCCTTTGAATTAAAGCTGATGCTCATGACGTAAATGATGCACATAGTGTACACGGTGCCATTAAAGCCTCCAAGGCAGTGTTGTGCTTTGTGACATCATCATTTTTCCGTAGTATTTTAACGCAGACTTAGGGAGGCAGAACAATTTTCTGAGCCTTCTGGTCACTTTGGGCCTCAAGCCCAATGCAGCTTCATTTATTTGCATTTATCTCTCTCTCTCTCTCTCTCTCTTTTTTTTTTTTTATGTTCGCTAGGGTCATAAAGGGGCAAAGGGAGAAATCGGTGAACCAGGAAGACAAGGACACAAGGTAAGGGGAATGACCATTTAGGGGGTCAGCTGTGATTAGGAGGCAGTGATCATTTTCACTACAAGGAATTATAAGGAATAGTAAAGTGTGATATTTTATTTCTTTGGCAAGTAAATGCTTGGTGTTTTCTAGGTACAGTATTCTAAGCTGTTCAGCTGTTGAAACGACAAAGAGAACCCCAGAATTTCCCCCCTATTTGCTCCCTCATTGACTGCATTTTCTTTCTGTTTCAAATATATCATATTTAGATTTTTTTTACTCAAAGCTGATGACAGTGAAACATTATGTCACCAATTGTTCTCCCTCCCCAAAGTTTATGATAGCTGTAAAGTTGTACAAGTGCTTTGAAAGTAGGAAACACAGGATTTAATTGGTAATTGCCTTAAAAGCCCTCTTCTCAAAATCTGAACTAATCTGTCTGTTGTGTGTTTCTCATCTCGTTTCACCATAACTCGGGTTTGAAGTAACTGGAAGTTAGGGATGGCATGTTATTAACACGTTATCTGGATAGAAATATGGAATCTGGATTGCACCGGGGTTGACATACCTTTCCAAACAAGGCTGAAAAGTACTTTAAAGCAAGGCGACTTGGTTGCCATTTCTTCATCTTACAAGTATCCAACAATTTTACTTCCTGCACAGTAGACTCTTCCTCCTAGTAAATTTTATGATGTTTTACAAAGTCATACCACTCTTCTTAGTGCAGGACTGCTGGACTTTGTTGATTGTGTCTCTCCATATCATTACTAGGTTACAGTAAAAGATTAGCCTTTTTCTTCGGCAGTAATGAGCAGGAGAGGCAATTTATCTCTTGAGTAAAATATCTTTGAGTGTTAATATCCTTGAACTCCTCAGCCCAAATCAGTCTGTTAAATAACCTCACTTGTATAATCAGGATAAATAGGCCAGTTCTCTGTGCCCTGTTACACTTTGCAAATTACTTTCAGTCATTTATTATGAAGGCTGTGAATAGTTAGGGTACTTTATTTATCTGGAATGAAGCAGCTGCGTTTCCGATGTCAAACTTGAGTAAAACAGAAAAGGTGAACGCCCTGTTTCTCTGCCTGCCCAGTCCTCCCCTGAATTTTAAGTTTTATAAATTTGAAAATTCAACCAATATTTATCACCTACCTGCTATGTGCCATGGTTTATTCAAAGTTCTGAAAGTTCAGAAGTGAACGAAAATGACGCCCAGTCACAGGGGATTGACTAAACTGAACATGACATGTTAGTATGTGAGAACACCAGCTAACCCCTACACCAGGCGAGCAAGAACGTTTAGCTCTTTGTGAGGCATGTGAGGTAAAGCAGACAGTAGACTTCAGTCGCTCCAGTGCTTTCATCCATTCCCCATTCCTCTGTGTGCTGTTGACCTCCTTCCTTTGGAGACCGTCTCTCCCTCTTTCCACAGGACTTAGAGCTGTTAGTCAGGGTGTTTCTCCCTTATGTTATGCCCATCAAAGTACTATTTTTCATGCCCACAGATTAGCTATATGAATGAAATCTAAAATTTATTTTTGGTCTTCGAGTAGGAAACTGGCTTTTTTTTTTTTTTTTGCATGTTAGGCAATTGGATCAATGTCCACTTGGATGTTGAAGATTCCTTTAGTTCATTTGATATTTTTTTGTGCAACCCTAAACTTTTAAGTAGTGACTTTCAAAATTGGTAGAGGAAGGTGGGATGGCAGTAGGCCATTGAAGATGGGGTCCTGGAAGGACTGAGCCTGAATCGATAGCCAAGGGGCCTGGAGGTCTGCCGTCCACAGGCAGGTCACAGTCTGGCTTTAACTGGATCCTGCAAGTCAACTAATGAAGATTTAGTTACTTTGTAGATACAGGCATGATTAGTGAAATCCTGATAATAAAACTATGGTCCTGGAATCATCAAACTGCAGTTCAGTCTGCATCCATTCCGAATTCCTCCAGCAAAATGATGATAAATAATGTCTCCTAAACTTGCCATTTAAAATTTGTGATTATTGATTAGGTGTGAGCTTTTTATCTGCAGGAGAAATGTTTAATTCAAACATATTACTCCAAGTTTTACGGGAAATCTATAAGAAATATGCCATACCCTGAGAAGAAAATTTGCAGGGGACTATGAATCACTGATGTCTGTGCAGCAGTTCGACAGCTCTGCAGGAGAAACAAGTAGCATTTAGTTACATTCAGGAGGTGCTGGAGAGATGGCTCAGCAGTTAAGAACACTTGGTGCTCTTGCAGAGAGGACCCTGGTTCAGTTCCCAGCATCCACATGGCAGTTCAATCCAGTTCCCGGGGATCTGATGCCCTCTTCTGGCCTCTGCAGGCACTGCATTCACATATGTACATACATAAAGGCAAAACATCATACACATAAAGTGAAACTAAGTCTCTGATAGTACTGTGAATAATGATTAGCCGCTCCATGAACTAGCACATTTCAGTAGCTTTTAACTTGGGACTGCCTCTTTCCACTGTCAATCATAAGTTCTAGTAGAATACAATCTGAATTTAATTATTATTCTAAAACCAGTAAGGTATTCATAATTCACTTAAAAATTCAGTTCTAAGGCTCATGAGGTGGCCCAGTGGGTAAATGTTCTTACTGTCAAGCCTACCTTAGTTTGAGCCCCAGAATCATGTGCTGATAGGAAAGAACCAAATCCCATAAGGTGTTCTCTGACCTCCACAGACTCATGTGGTACATGCATGACCCCTCCAAATAAATAAATGCAAAAAATTATGTGTAACTCATTGAAACATAATCTAGTTTTTTTGTATTAAATGCTTAAATGTTATCTATAATATTAATATCCCTATTAAATATTAGCATTAAATTTTATGGGTGTACTTGGTTTTGTGTGTGTGTGAAAAAAATTTGTAAATATAAGGCATAACCTATGGAAATTATAATGTATTATAATTATACTATATTTTTATAAATAGTATCTATTAATCTATTATATACAAATATAATGTAAAATTATATGCAAGAAAATGAGACAATAAAATATGTATATTAATAATTGAATGACAGAATTGATTTTAATATGTGACATAAATAAGGAGTTTTCCTCATGAATAACCTCACAATTAAAGATATTTATTATCACTGAAATGTCAAGTGAGATGTTTAGTATTTTCTCAATCTATAGAGTTGCCTTTCTGTAAGAAAGAAATCAGATCTCTCTCTGTTTCTCTCTGTCTCTGTCTCTCTCTGTCTCTGTCTCTGTCTCTCTCTCCTATGATGCTGGAGATTTGAACTCAGGGCTTTGTCATGCTCAACCAGTGCTCTGCCATTGAGTTATATCCATAGCCCAGGAAGCAGACTTTTTTATAGAATAGTCTAACATTTTAAAGCATAACAGAATTTATAAAATAGCAAAAAGTCCAAATAGCAATTAGATACTATGAAAGAAGGACCCAATGATAATAAAAATCCAAAGGCAGATTACTTTGAACAAACTGCAGCATTTATTCAAGCTTAATATAAAGAAAATGGCATCGCTTTAGTCATTAAAAAAAAAGATTTTACTAAGTAGACTGACTTCTAGGATGAAGCAGAGTAATGTAGTTTAATACAAAGCAAATGGTGTTTTTTGTGAAGATACTCCCAAGGATTCTGTTTCTAAATTGTGTGTGTGTGTGTGTGTGTGTGTGTGTGTGTGTGTGTGTATGGTGTGCATGTGTGTGTTGTGAACATGTGCATAGGCACGCACACCTGTGTAAACACGTGGAGATCAGTTCAGCACATTGGGTGTTCTGTTTCTTCAGTCTCCACTTATTCCCCTGAGACAAGTCTCTCAGTGAACCTGGAGCTGAGCTAGCAGCCAGCAGGCGTCAAAGACTCTTCTGTCCCTGCCCCCCCCATACCACTTGGGTGATAGGAACGTGTGCAAGCCATAAGCAGCTTTTTTATGTAGGTTCTTGGGGTCCAAACTCAGGTTCTCAGGTTAGCATAGCCAGCATTCTTACCCACTATACCATCTGTCCACTTCTGACCAATGATTCAAGTTCATCTGGAAGAGTAAACATTTAGGCAAATAGGAAGAAGAGTACCTATGAGTAAAACATATAGAGAAATTCTTCCTACTGGAGATGAAAATGTATTACAAAAATTCATGAAGTAAAAGTTTGTGACAGTGACATCACATAACAGATCAACAGAGTATCAGAGATCTCCAGACTACACAGAAAATATTTGTTAGTCAATACATGATATTGAAATAAGTGTTTGGTCCCTGCAGCGGAGATATATTTTAACCAAAAACTAAATTATTAATAAATATTTTTGCATATTTTGGAGTGACTCAAAGGAAATATAAATGAACACTCATATTCTTAGTGGTGAAAATGGCCTGTTAGTGACAACATAGGTATAATCTGTGCAAGAACTGATTTGAATGCATTAACATTGTGTATGGTATAAAATTATGATAAGAAAAACCAACATGCAAATTATAACAAAATATCTTACAGTAAAAGATTTCATAATGTGGTTGTATTTTCCTAGCATCACTTGCAACCTAAGAACACACCCTTCTCTCTCCCTTCCTCTCTTTCTTCCTCTCTTTAGAAAACCTTGAAAGAACAGCTTCTAAGTGGGATCTCCTTGGGTGACTCTCTATGTACTTATCCACATTGCCTGAATACCATGCAATTAACACAGACTACCTATGCAATTTAACAAGACCCCAGTAGAACCATCCAGAGGATGTCAAACGCACTTGACATAAACTGCGCAAGACCTGCCTATTCACTTGCTAGTTAATATTCACTGTGATTTTTCTCTGCTGATTTTTAGGGTGAAGAAGGTGACCAGGGAGAACTGGGAGAAGTTGGAGCTCAAGGACCCCCAGTAAAGTATTTTTTAATGTTTGCCTAGGATAAGCAAATCTTTTTAATGACTTAGTATTACCTTCTCTTTAGTATGCAGATTAATAGTTTATGGTGTATGAACCCGATATTCTCTATGCTTCCAGCCAGTCAGCACCAGGCAACCACTACTTTTTCAAAATAAGAAAGAGTCCACATTGCACCTTCGAGAAATTTTTAAGAGAAAAGTTCTATTTTAAATTATATGTAGCCTCCGAGAGTTCATAACCTGAAAGCAAATGTTGAGCACAAGAGGACGAGGAACTTCAATTTCTGCAGTGCTCTGGCGTGACAGAGGAGAACATCCTGTATACCTTGAACACGAATGCGGTTTATAACCCATGGGATCCCTGCAGGTGATTCCAGAAAGTGATCACAAATTAGGATGTTCTGAGTGGCTCATAAACACGTCTTTTACTGCAGTCCCTGAACTGCTGCGATGTTATGTAAGACAGTTGGACATAAACGTACTTCAGATTTAAGATGTTTGTTAAGAGTGGAATTCACGTTAATTTTGTACCATATGGAAGCACAATTGTTACTCTTTGTCCTAGTCTCCATTATAGAAAAAATAACTGTTGAGGATTCCTTGAACACTTGAAGGTTGCTGAAGGATAGCTGATGCAAGAGACTACCACCAAAGAGCCAGAGAAGACAAGCTAAATCCCCTTTCTTGAATTGCTCTTCCCCTCAGCACTAGTCTCTTGTAAAACAGATTTTCTTTATTTATTTTACATGTATGAGTGTTCTGCATGCATGTATGTATTGCACCATGTTCATACAATGCCTGTGAATGCCAGAAGATTCCTTAGAACTCAAGGTATAGACAATTGTGAGCTGCCATGTGTGGATGCTGAATACTGGCCCCAGGTCCTCTGCAAGAGAAGCCAGTGCTATTAACTGCTGAGCCATCACTCCAGTCTCTAAAAGCAGTTAGAGGGACTGTGCAGAACAAAGTTTACTTAGAGGTTAAGGCTAAAAAAATGGTTATGAGCATCTAAGAAATGGTTTCTTTTCTGGGCCACATGAGACCTTCAAGAGGACGTTGTGGAAGAGTCCAGACATTTTCTCCAGAAACTTGCCTTCTCTGAGCCTTTACTAGGAGGCGTTAAGGAACTTGACTCTCATTTCCTGGGGGATAGTGCCAGGTAGTATAGTTTGTTTGCTTTTGCTTTTTGGATCTAATGAAAATTAGGTGTGGGTTTATATAGTTTCAAAAGAATCCATCCTCAAAGATTATGGAATGATGTTATGTAGCTCAAGGGATCCACTGGGAATTACTGTCAGTATCTGCTGACCTCCTGGTGTTTGAGAGGAGGTATGTTTAAATGTTTCTGGAGAATTCACAGATTTTTACCTCATAATATATAAGCACACTCCTAAAGCCACACATATATTTATAAAAAGAACATTTCTATGGTGTATTTGTATAAGGAGTAGTCATTTTGAGTGCTTATTTTTTTGGGTTCCTGTATCACAACTACTTTTTAAATTTTTTTTTTATGTACAGGAATTGTCCACAGAGTCAGTAAATGAAGCTACATAAGTTAGAGTGCTTAACCTGATATGACCACATTTCAGTTGAAAACCTAAATTGTTAATCCAGCCTGGCTCATGCTGTACTTGGGAACTTCAGACAATTTCTGACTGACATACAGAGAATTTTGTGACTGAACTAGATGAAAGAAGGCTGGTCCTGGGACTGTCCATCTTTCCCCAGATGAAGAGGAAGACAATAGAACCCTAAAGAACCTTTTTCTTAAGCCAGTGTGGAAAGTTGGCAGATGTCAAAAGTAGCTAACTTCTAACGGAGCATGCACTCGCAGCTGTGCCCCAGGGAGCACCCAGGCTCACCCTTTCTTTACCACAGGTTTATGGAAGAATCCTTTGCTGTGGGACTAGCAGCATTTCGGTACTGAAAGACAGCCTGAAATCCTCTCCACTCCCCTCGTGTTTAGGGTTATTCACTTGTGTGCCTGTGATTTCTTACTATGCCACGTTGGAGTTCAGAACACTCCTTATTGTAGGAGCAGCATAATAAATACTGGTGACAAGTGGTTGGTGGGCAGTCCAGCTCTGTTTCTGGTAGTATGTTTTTATGGGTTCGACTGCAACTGCCTCACTTTGATTGCATGGATTTGTAGGTAGCTATTATTTTAAGAGTTAAAATAGTGTTACCCCTAACAGACCACAAAAGAGGTGGACATGGGAGTGTGGGTTCTGTCCGTGAGTTAAAAGATGTCAGAAACACTGTCACAGTTGCGTGTATTTACTTTCTAAAGGCCATCAATCATTGCATCAACTCAATTTGCATAGAGTTATATAAGCCTTTAGGATTTTACCAAAGAGTTTTAAGCATTGGAATTTCACTTGGACTTTTCTTTCTAAACTAGAAATGTTTGCCTATGTATGCTGTCACATACTTAGTGTCTTCTGTCATTATGCTAACATGCTTTTTCTGGATCAGCATCTGCAAAGAGTATGTGCTTTGACTGAAATCATTTATCACCCCCCTTCCTTTGCTTTTCCAGGGAGCTCAAGGCCTGAGAGGGATCACTGGAGTAGTTGGAGACAAAGGAGAAAAAGTGAGATATCGATGATAAAGGCATCATATAAGAGTGACTTTGCCTCCGAGTAGCATCACTTTTTAGTTTATCTTTTATGTGTTTATGTGTTTTTTATAATACCTAATACCATGCATATTTTGTAAGCATCTACCATGACAAGAAAACCATGTGCACTTGTTAAGTATAGAGTCATTCCCCGCCCCCCCAGATATTTTTGGTGGGATTCATGGCATAGAACCCATGGGCATGGGGGAATACTATCTTAGGTAAATTAGAGTAAGTGGGGGTGTAATGTTCTCGCTTTGGCATTATTTGTAGCCAGTGCTCACAGTACTGACACAATACTGGGAGTGTTTCTGGTCCTGCAAGGCAAAGACAAGGGAGGATAGAGAGGGAGAGGTAGGATCCCGAGACCGTGTTAGCTGCTCTGCCTTAAACAGTTGTGGCCACAAGTCACCAGCCTGTCCTTTGCCGGTTTCAGAAGTCAGGTTTTCCTGGCTCTTCCCCCGCAAGGCACCTGCAAGCTCCAAGGACAGTTTGAGGGACAGGCTCACATTAAGTGTCTTACTTTTTTGGAGAGGCAGAGAAGTAGATAAGCAATTATGGTGCAATTTGGGGAAGAAGCAAATCTGAAATCAGGCGGCGCAAGGATGGTGCAGCAAAGCAGTGGCTTAATCTTGGTGTGACATCTGGGAGGGTGTGGCCCGTGCCAAAGCTGACTTCAGATGGCAGGAGGAGGAGGTGCGGTGGACGGTGAAGGATGAAGACACACGGCGGCGCTTGGTGGAGTGACTGTCCCTGAGGAAAGACCATGGGAACGATTCACAGTATCCTCAGCAATATCGCTTTGGGGGCATGAGTGGGGTGGGATTGTATCTAGTGTTTGGGACCAAACCAGTTGCCATTTCTCAGAAAGTTTATTCTGAAAGCCAGTTTGTGGACTACAGAATGTTTAAAAATTTTTGCCCATCAATATTTTCGGACCCTGGTTTGGCTCTCTTTAGAGCCATTTTTGCTAATTTGTATCAGTTCCACACAGCACAGGGATTTTTATTTACGATTAAGTAACAGTAAGATTTCATCGTTGATACACAATAGACCAATTAAACCCTTTTTTAAGAAGAGTCACAACTCCTGTGAATTACAGGCCTGGCTCGTCTACCACATTTTCCTTACTCTCTCTTTTCACACAAGAGCTTTTCTAGGTATTTCCCTGCCTGTTTTCCTTTCTCCATCTCCTCTAAGGTATTTCTTTTAAACACACACACACACACACAGTACTGAAGTCTTGTGTATTTGTACATCCACACTACCTTAAGTAACATTCTGTGTGCATCTCTCGGTTATTAAGATTTAAAGTCCATCTATTTTGATGCAGCCAACACCCAGGCTAT